CCTATCGGTGTTAGTTTTATTCATTTTTCCCCTAAAAAATTACGATATGAGGTATACTTTACATTTAGAATGAAATAACTTTTGGTTTTGATGAATAAAGAAACAAACATTTTTTTTGAAGTCTAAAGGGCGCGATTTGGAATGACTGCTTGATGAAATATTGCAGTAAAACAACGAATATTGATAATCAGGTAATAATTAAGTATATCGGGAGACGGGGTTCGAACCCACACCATGAACAGAGTGGACGCTTCCGACGTCTTTGACGACTCGGCCACCGCTCGTCTTGAAGTAAATATTGCGAATCTTGTGTAGATAAGTGTAGAGCTGATGCGCAGGCTACACAGCTACTGCGCAACCTCCTCGACCACTGCGCATCCTCCCGCGCATAGCGGTAGCAGTCTCGGAGCATTCTGAAAATTCACTCACTTTTATAACGTGATTGTAAAATAACCTGGGTCCAAATCCAAAATCTGAATAGAGCGGGCTCATCTAGGGCCAATTACCCGTCGATTACCGCAAAAAACTTGGAAATCGGCCCGGTAGAACGCTCAAACGAACTATGACAAAAAATATAAATTTACATTGTTTAAATGGGAGAATTCGCAACTTTACCACTTAATATAAAAAAACCTGGGCCATATTTTGAAAATCTGAAAAGAGTTGGCTTATCTAGAGACAATTGCCCGTCGATAGCCGCAAAAATCATAAAATTCGGCCCGGTAGAACGCTGGAACTAAGCGTTACCAGTTTCGCAAAATTAGGAGGCCTCGGAGCTTATAGTATAGATAGCGAAGAATAAACGGTTTTCTTTTTGACTCTTTGCCTTTTTATTTTTATTTTCAGTCTTGAATTATCAGTCTGAAGTTTTTTGGTTTTACTATTTCGTCGTATTCCAGTGAGTTGATTATTAAAATCTATAGACAAAGAAGACACAAGGAAAATGGAGCGATGCTATCGGTCGAAAGAGGTGGTTGTGACAGACAAAGGGGGAAAATAATGGACTATGCTGAGGGGTCGCTCGTGGTTTGCCGTAAGTTAGTCTATTACTCAAATTGTTTGTCCATTGAAAACTACCCAATAGGATCACCAATAGGATATCTCCATTTCCATGATGATTCTATCTCATGATATAAAACGAAAAGAAAAGTCAAAGTACTAAGTAATTTCAGTTATATCGCTACATCTATCTTGCCCTGGCCAAGTGAAAAGCAGTCATTATTTCTTATACAGTGGACTCTCGATAATTCGAAATTGAAGGGAATCGGCTTTTTCTTCGAATTAGCGAGGTTTCGAAATAAAGAGAGTTCGAATTAAAGAGATTCCATGTAGAAAAATTTCGAATTAGAGAGGTTCGAATTATAGAGGGAAGGCGCCATCTGAATTCGAATTATAGAGGGGCAAATGGACGGATTTACGCCTAAAGGTCTTTAGCTCAAAGGTCAAGCTCTTTCAGACACCCAGGAACATGAACAGTTGACTTCGAATTGTAGAGGGAATGTACCGTCTTATTTCGAATTATAGAGGGAGGGCCATACTTACTTCCCACATTTCGAATTACAGAGAGAATTTTCGTCGCAATTTCGAATTACAGAGGGCCAAGCCAGCTTTAAAATTTCGAATTAACAAGGGGAGAAAAATACGTTGATTTTCTTCGAATTATCGAGAGATTTTCAAGGGAAACAGACTTTCCTTCGAATTAACGAGGTTTTCGAATTATCGAGGTTCGAATTATCGAGAGTCCACTGTACGTATTTACAAAATTTAAACATCTATCCACATATGTCGCCAATTTTGAGGATACGCCGTTTCTGAAATAAACTGACAACTTGATTTGATTTTGATGTACGGCGAACAATGCTTCATGATTTGCCGGCAAAGTGGTCGATTGAGATGAGTCTCAGAGCGTCAAAGAATGATTCTCCTTCAATTACTCGGTTATGCAAGATCACCACCATGACGCACGAATAGTGGTATCATTATTTAGTACTATATGACGGCGCCTCATTGAAGGCGTTCCGTTGTCCGTCAGGCTAGGTCCGCTGCAGTCTGCGGTCCACCGCGCTTCCGTCGATAGGATCGCTCCATTTCCTCGTTCTCTTCATTGTCTATCACTTCGTCTGTCAAACAAGTGAAGACAATAAAGATTAATATATCATGACCTTTAATACATGAAAAAGGCGGAAAAGGCAAATCGTAAGGAAGTTTCTAATCAACGCAAGGAAAATGTAAATATAAACGAGCCGGTTAATAAAATCCCGTCTCGTCACGTGAGTTTAGTTGAATGTTGCGTATAGCAATGGGCCTGTTGCAAACTTTTGCTAGAGCAAAAATAAGAGTTGTTTCTTGTAGATAATGCCTCAAAAATCACGATGAGCGCATCGGCAAAGTCTGAAATGCACTCATAACTTCACAATCTGCGTAAGAAATTTGCGGTTTTTTAAGCTTCCCGCTTCAAAAACGATACTACGGCACAGGTGAACATTTTGTTAGAGGAGTCGCTCCATCGTCGGCGATATTCATCATGGCCGACGCTTGCACGCAGTTCCGCGCGTAATTCAAGGAGAGTTCAAGGTCAATCCATTCGGGCTAGGAAAATACGAACGTTAACACACCGATTGTTATCTGGTCTAATCCAGTTCAGGTGTTATCTCGTCCCATCAAACGTGTTTTGGCGGATTGGCGTCGGCTATGATGATTATTGCCGACGATGGAACGACTCCTCTTACAAAATGTTCACCTGTGCCGTAGTATCGTTTTTGAAGCGGGAAGCTCAAAAAACCGCAAATTTCTTACGCAGATTGTGAAGTTATGAGTGCATTTCAGAGTTTGCCGATGCGCTCATCGTGATTTTTGAGGCATTATTTATAAGAAACAACTCTTAGTTTTGCTCTAGCAAAAGTTTGCAACAGGCCCATTATAGCATCGCCCAGTGCACAAGAGTTGGAAGGAACGACTCCCTCTTACGAAATGTTCGCCTGTACTGTTTTCTTGTTTTTGAAGCGGGAAGCTTAAAAAAACGCATGTTTTTCATTCAGATTGTGAACTTAAGTGTATTTCAGACTTTTTCGATGTGCTCATTGTGTCTGCGAGACATTTTCAATATGAAACAACTTTCATTTTGCTCTAGAAGAAGTTTGCAACATGCCCATTGAATTTTTTGCGAATTTCACGCAGAATCGGGTCGCTATTCTCGAAAACTCTTAACTCTCGTTGCGGTTTCATCCCGGCAATCAGTGCCTGGCGAAAGCTCTCGACGTTTGGCACCACGGAGTAAGATTGGCGATGGGGCTCACACGTGGCATGCACTAATTAAATTGGAAGTCGATAGGAGCGCCAGTAAATCGTGACCCGCGGTTCGCTGATTCCGGCGCGCTCTGGCGGTGCAGATCGCAAGCGCGGTTGCCGGACTCCGATCGAAATCATCCCTCTCCTCCGCTGACTTCGCCGAAAAGCGCGAGCGATCCGGCGACGCGGCACCCTTTGCAAACACGCGGAATGGAATACAAAGCGACCGTCGGGCCCGGAAGTAATTTGAGAAATTGAAATTTTCGAGCAGCGCGAAAAAGCGCCTCTTCCGTTTTTATTTTCACTTGTTTTTTTTTTTTTTTTTTAATTTTTATTTGTTTTGCGTCCTGCCGTGTCGCCCGGCGATCGATTCCTTGTGGTCGTTTACTGAACAAACACATCGTCTCGTGAATTGGACCCGCTCCTTGTTTTCCTTTCTCCTATTTTTTCAGCGGTTTACTTTCGGACGGGGAAAAATATCCGTGAAAAAAATTGTGGACGGCTTTTATCATAACGGAACTGACTGTTCTGGCTGTATTTTAGGATCGAAATATACTTGCTATCAATGTCCACGTCTATAATTGTCAACAGTGACATCCCCATCTAACGCAGTATATAGTGACGTTATGGTTGAAACGGTCTGGGCGTTACGTCTGAAACGGTCTGTGTATCGTTGAATATACTGCGAATTCGGTTCTAACATTTAAGATAAGATTAAGTCTCCTTTATCTCTATTACCGTGTCTAATGTAACTGAAACACAATGCATTTGACTCAAAATGATTTCAAATACACGCCATTTGAGGGGCTTGGAGTACAAAGCGCATAATGCAATTTTTGAAAAAATTGAGGTAGTAACGATCTCAAGAAAATAGTCGTGATGCATATTCGGTGAAAAATTCCCTCTCGAATTTCAATTTTTAAGCATCCAAAAATCAGTTTGAACTTTTTTTCGGCCATTAGGATCCATTAATTTCGAAACTTCAAAGACGTATTTCTCGAAATAACAAGAACTGCACTTATTTGCCTTGTCCACCAAGCCCCTCGTTTTACCTTAATCTTGTTTTGGTTAGTCAACAAGTACAAAATGGCAATAATAGACCTGCGGGCCGATTATTGAAATTGATAGACAAAACTATAGAAAAAGAAGACAAAAAGGATGTGGAAGGATCCTATTGGTGGAAGCAGGTGGTTGCAACGGACAAAGGAGGTAGGTAATGAACTAATTAACGGCAACCGACGAGAGGCTCTATTATAGTTAGTCCATCATTTTTCTCCCTTAGTCTATAGGAGCCATCCATTTCACCGATAGGATCGGTCCATACTCTCTATGTCTTCTTTGTCCATCGCTTTATCTATCAATTTCAAGAATCAGCCCGCTGCTGAGCGGCATCACATCTGAAGAAGTGCGTGATGACGTCACGGTCGAAGTCGTCAATCGTGACGTCACAAAATGGTAAAATGGTCATTGATGAAATAAGTCAATCATTTTTCTCCCTTACTCTCCATACTCTCTATGTTTTCTTTGTCCATCGCTTTATCTATCAATTTCAAGAATCAGCCCGCTGCTGAGCGACATCACATCTGAAGAAATGCGTGATGACGTCACGGTCAAAGTCGTCAATCGTGACGTCACAAAATGGTAAAATGGGCATTGATGACGTTACATGTTCGATAACAAACTCATGGTGTGTCTGTGTGGTGTGATTGCAGGTGCCGTGGGCGGCGATGGAGGAGACGACGAAGGGGACAAAGAGAAAGAGGAGGAGGCCGAAAGAGAGCGGCAGGAGGCCATCCGAGAGGCCGAGGAAAGGCGGAAGGAGAAGCACCGGAAAATGGAGGAAGAGAGAGAAAAGATGAGACAGGAAATCAGAGATAAGGTAAATTTCATCTTCAAACAGAATCTCCTGCGCTTCCGACATCTCATTATTGTTTCCGAGCCCATCAGCTCCCGCCCTCTTCTTTCTAAACTCGCGGAATGGTCGAATATTTCGATAATCGAATCAGTGGCGTGGCGTGCTTTGCGATATATAGATTGTTATGCCATTTAAACCTATGGAAAATGATCGATAAACAGGGTGTTCGCAGCGAACACCTTATTAATCGATTCTTTACCATACGTTTAAATGGCATAACAATCGATACATCGCAATTCACGCCACGCCACTGAATCGAATATTCGATATCCGAGGTATTAGCACCACGATAATTGCATCTTATCGAATGTTGGTGACAGTAATCGAATATTTGATTATTTTGCGATTAATATTCGAAAATTTGACAAAACTGCGGTTAACCATTTTACTTGTTTTATTTTCAATTTACTTGTTCTTATATTAATACGAAAATGCCATACAAACCGCTTGCAGTTGGTTCTTTACAACACTAAAGAGGATTGCATTTTGCAAAAAGGAACCACTAGCATTGCAATGATGCTAAGATTGTGCAACTTCATCTTTTGCAATAAAATTGCGGAAATCGTGAAAAACTATGAAATTTAGATGTTAATTTTCGTCTTAAATTTACAGTTTTTAGTGAGTAAAATAGAAACTATTAATGGATAATCAGGTTTTTCCTCCGAGACAAAAGAAGTTGCACAATCTTAGCAACATTGCAATGCTAGTGGTTCCTTTTTGCAAAATGCAATCCAAGAGATGTTACCGTAAAAGTCTGAAAATCCTTTCAACAAAAATCGCTCCAATGAAAATCTTGTTCCCATGGAGTATGGCCTCTTTTTCCCTGGACGGTCGCGATTCTTGTTTTTTATTTAAAGTTTACAATTTATGACAATTATGTTTAGTATTTTATAATCAATTTGTGTTATTGCCATCGCCACTAGTCTCTTTTTGATGACGTATTCTTCGTAATTTAAGGCCTATTGCTTTGCAGAATTACTTACCTGATACTTATCAGATAATCACTAAAACTATGCAAGCTTTTTTCTCAGAGAAAAATTTCCTTTACCTCCTTACATTCTCTAGTTTCTAAGGTTTGTTGGTTAATTGCTGTTGTAACGCCTAAGAAGGTTACCTTTTTAATTAGTGTTGAAACGAAGTTGTAGATTAACTTCAAAGATCTCTCTCACCCAAGATTTTAGCAAATTTACTAAAAGAATTGAAAGATCATGAATGTAATGATTTATTGGCAAAACTTCTTACATTAGTGCATTTTATTATATTTTATAAAATTATACATATTCATACATTTGAGTAAATCTGATATTCTATCAACAATGATACGCACAAAGAGTATTGGTAATAATACCTAGATGGCACGTACTTTCATTCTCATTCCTAGAAAGTCAAAAATCAAACCTAATTTAATATGAAAATATTGGTCGCAAACAAATTGTCGAATCTAACAGTTTTTCAAATGCCCATCAATTATGTCAAATTTTGAAAATTTACTTAGTAGTGCATACATGTCGATGGCCGAAGTGCGAAACCACGTACCTCCGTTTGCGACGTTGCATATTTTCTTTTTTCTTTGGTTTACATGTTTCTCGAATACTCCCTTGATTTTATTTCTCTTGTTAGCCGAATATTCTGGATACATTTCATGCTATATAGTTGACTTTTTGTTTCTCTTCCAAAAAATAAAACAGGATCGGAAATTTTGAAACACCGCAACGGAAATACGTAGTGCCACAATTCAGTCATCAATCGGACGAAGAACTCAAAATGAGTTCGTTCGGTAGTTTTTTATTTTTATATTTTTGAAAAGAGGAGGCTTCACTATGAGTTCACAGGAATTTTCACTGATTTTTTTTATTAGTAGCTCACGATGAATGAGATATATTTGTAAGACGGTTTCAACTCATGTGGACTTCAACGTAGACTATGAAATTTTCAGACGTATCAAATACTAGTGATCGAGACACATGAAAATACAGGGGAGTTTTCCCAGCCCGCGTGGAGGGTGACGAAGCTGTTCAGAGTGTGACTAGCGAAACCTAATCAAGCTAGGAATAACGGTAACATCCCCAAGATTAAACGACATCGTCCCATTGGAAGGTTCGCTGAGTGTAATAGCCATTTAATGACTGCTATTCTGAGCCAATTAAGGGCCTTAATTGGGTAAACTCAGTTTCCTGTTATCAAGTTTCAATCAACTTTGAGTGTCATCGAGATGAGTTTTGAGCGCAAGAGGACCGGAGATACGTCAAATGTAAACACCGAACCGTCGAACCTCCCCCCCCCCTCCGCTGTTGTAGAAGTGGACTCATAAAATCTGATTTTTAAGGCGGAAATTCACCCTCGTTATTTTCTGTCGTCAGTTTCGTCAGGCCTGATGAACGATCAAATTTTGAACCAATTTCGATTAAAATGGACCCCTTGATGACGGATGGTCACCACGCAACATACTACTTTGGTCAAAATTCGACAGGCCGTCCAATTTTTATCAAACTGTAGTGGCACATCGTATCATTTTTTGTTGGAGGGACATTTTTGCCAAGTTTTCATTTGAGAATAAAGCGAAATAACGATTTTAGGTCTATTGACTCCAGACACACAATCCTCATTTGAATCAGTGAGAACGAAAACACACCAACTCGGTAACTCGAAAATGGTCAATTTCCATTAAAGACAGTTAATTTACATGAAGGTCATTGGATTAGCGCATATGTTCCAACTCGGACCTTTAAAAAGCCACTAAGTGCTTGTCTTTCGGCAGCAAAAATCTATTTCTTATACTAACATCTCTACCTATTCTGCAGTTTTGTGTATGTCTTGATTATTTTCATTTTTCCGAGATGGTGTGTTTTCGTTCTCACTGATTCATTTGGATAGGCTTTTTGAGCATCCATCGAGGCCTATCTGGTATAGGCAGGGTCTCTTATGGAGGAAAAAGAGATCGTGGCTTTTCGTGTAAATTGTGCAATATCCCTGCTAGACACACGAAATACAGAAGAATGGTCGATTTCAATAATCTTAAATCGCTGAAGATCAAGATCAGCACTTGAAACAAGTTTGAAATACACTTCTTTAAAAAAATTGCCTTGTACATATCACATACTTCCAAATCTACTGCGTCCGTGGACTTTTTCTCGTAATCGTTGGCAACAAAGTTTGCCATTCGAAGCTTTTCTTGTAAAGAAATATAATAACTGTTACGGTAATAATAACTGCAATAACTGTTACTTATACAAATTGATTCATTCTGAAATCATGTTTCAGTAATTTTATTTTGTTGCGGTATCTCTGATTTTCCTTACAAACTATTTGAAATTTCACAATTTTTTCACAGAATTTTTTTTTTTTTTTAAGTTTTATTGGCCAATTAAAATGTCATGTACCTAACTAAATGAGAAAATTGAACAATCTCTGACTGAAAAGTCAATCCAATATCATAAGTTTAGCTTACATATCTTAACAGTAATATAATCACCTGCCACGCCGTTTTCTAAACCGCCTTCACTTCTGAAGGATACTTCACGCACAACCGTAAAGTTAAAATAGTTGTATTCTTCCTATTGTCACAACACGTTGCTTTTCTAGTATTGCCAATATGTCAAACCGAGTGAGACTCATTAAAGCACATTTCGTCATTTTCGTTTCTCGGACGAGGGAACGTAACTCTATTCCTTGGTTGCACAATTGACTGAAACAATTCGATTTTTTTACAAGAATGTATGTGTGCAGTTTTTATCCAAAAATGTTCTATTTTTTGCATGAAATCAGATGAAACATCAGTAAAATTTTCAGTTAGATATGCCGAAGATTCTACAGTTAAAATTGCAATTTGCAAGGGTAAATTTGGCAAACTTGAAATGTGGTTACGTCTCTTCATAAAGAAAACGACGATTTGTTGCACACATTTTTTTTTTTTTTTTTTTTTTTTTTTTTTTTTTTTTTTTTTTTTTCCATGCAAATTAAGTTTAACATTTAATTAATTAGTGAATGTAACATTCGAAAGGATGCATTGCGCTCCTGGTCCCTTTTGTTGTTTTAAAGGTTTCCACGAGAACTTCTCTCATTATACATTCTTGACCATCTTGGTTTGATATGTGAAATCTGAAGATGGGTAGCGGTATATTTCTCGTGTGTTTCATGTTAGAAGGTCAGCTGCTCTTTAGGGTTTTAAGAGCTCCATACTTCGACATGCCCGCACTCTCCCTATATAGGTACCCTAGTCCCAATTAAGTCGAATGGACTGTAATAGATAATAATTGGTTAAATATTAATCAAATGTATTCAGTTTATCCTCTTTATTTTACTTCCTATCGATTTGTAAAAAATTAACTTCAACCTTAGAACGAGTATTCAGCCTCTACATTACCACATACTTTTTGCTATCAAGGCCAGTGTTCGAAACTCACAGGCGCCAACGCGCCAAAGGCACCTAAAAAAATCGGCCATGGCGCCTTAAAATTAAGGCTCTGCACCAACGTGGCCCCTAAAAATTGCCCCCGAAAAATCTGGATTTTTCTAGGGAGAAAGGAAAAAAAATCTATTTGAATTAAAAAAACTCGGAATTTTCGGCACTACAAGTGAAAGATTTTTCTATTCTTCACGATTTCATTCTTACACTGAAAAAAACACTCCGGCCGTGGAAGCCGTACTTACGGGCTATATAGAGCTACCGTCCGCGTTCCGGGCTCAGAGGCCGAAAGTTCCGAGCGTAGCACCCGGAGCAGTCGAAGTGCTCCGGGTGCTACGCCCGGAACTTTCGGCCTCTGAGCCCGGAACACGGACGGTAGCTCTATATAGCCCGTAAGTACGGCTTCCACGGCCGGAGTGTTTTTTTCAGTGTAGTGCTTTTGTCCTCCCTAAGTTACAGCTACTTACTGTTTCTGTTCCGAAAAAATCTTTTGTCTAACTTTCCACTAAATGCGCCGTAATACATAGGCAAAAAGTCAATTTAGTCCCTAAAAAATCTGCAATGGCGCCTAAAAATTGGGCTTTATGCGCCACATGCCTCCTAAAACTCAAAGGTGACTTTCGAACACTGATCAAGGCTGTAGGAATAATTTTAAGTTCTTTAAACTCCCTCGAACAAGAAGCAGACATTGGGCAAGCGATCCTCAAGAACTCCATTGACATCAGTATAACCAATGAACTCTGCCACGAAGGATCAAATTGACTCTAGTAGGGAGTCTTTTATTTTATATTGACTCCCTAATGGAGTCAGATTGACCCCGACTGGTACACTCAACCCAGCCGAAGACATCTCATCGCTCGCCGTGAATAAGTTTGATACCTCATCCGGACGCACACATACACACATACACCAGTTACATTTTATTTTTATACAAGTCATTACAACATTTTTAATACCCAATACCTGATATGTTTTCAGATGAGGTAAGATAAGATCATGCACCGTGTAATCGCCTATTGTCGGCTTAGCGCAAATGTCAATGGGCCAGTATTGTGCTGGTCTCTGAATCATGTTCTGGTTCTTCATTTTTGTCGATCTGCTGAAAATATTAAGATCCGTCCTAACAGCAACTTTCTAAGTTCAATATTGACCGAGATACCACGATTTGAAAAATTCGGTATATGACGTCATCCACCGCGGTAGTGACACCCTTAGTTTCTTCCACCTTGCTTTCATCCGAGTTACACGTCGAGTAACCTATGCAAATGTGCGTTTCCCTGACTGATGAAAGCAAGGTGAAAGAAACCAAGAGTGTCACTACCGCGATGGATGACATAATAAACCGATTTTTTCAAAGCGCGATATCTCGGTTAACGTTGAACGTCGAAAGTGAATTACGCATTTTCCGCACAAAGATTGTGATTGGCTCCTGAAAATTTCAAGGAAAAATATTCATGACTCTCTTCAAAAATAAACACTTTACCGTAGGAGATTTGGCAACTCTCGAATTTTCATACGGCGTTCTTCCTTAGCACGGCAGTCAGAGAAACACAATTCAATTATCTACGCGGTGTTGCCAAATGGTGCAAAAAATAAAGTTTTCTTGGCTGGTTTTGTGCGGAATTTTGCGTGGAAACGTCAACCCACCGTAGAAAGTTATTGGTTGGACGGATCATAATATTTTCAGCTGATCGCAGGAATCAAGCACCAAAACACGATTCTGAGACCAGCGCAAGTGACCCATTATTACACATACTTTAGACGTATTTTGTTCGACGCAACAATTGCTTCCTGTTACCGATTTTGTGTTATTTGCATCACTAACTTTTTCACAACCAATGAAAGCAAAGCAGCTAGAAATGAGGTTAGAAATCCTGTTGACAAATGCACACAACAGTCGTAACAAGCTCCGAGGACGTTCTAACTGTTTCGAAACAATGTTGCGAAATCGTTGCCAAACTGTGCGAAAAAATAAACGAATAAAAAAAGGCCACACCCCTTAACAGAAAGAACATCCGAACAAAATACGATTGTTACGAGATGTCTCGAGTTGTTGCGTCGGACAAAATACGACTTTTTTACATCAACTGACTCGATTTCTTGTTATATTTCATGTAATGACTGGGACGGTTTTTTTCTCTTTTTTTAGTACAATATAAAGAAAAAAGAAGAAATTCAGGAACCTCAGCCGGAGGAGCCTGATAATCCTTTGATGAGGAAAAAGAAGACGCCCGAGGAACTCGCACGAGAAGCTGAAGAAGCAGACCAAGATGAATTAACAAGTAAGAATTTATATAATTAATTTAAATTAATTCATTAATTTTAATTAATTAATTTATGTAATTACGACACGTGGATGATCGATTATCGACATTCCCCCATTTGAAACTGTGATGAAAATCGGTTATTGAGGCATCCGTTGCGGACGCCTTGTAATCGATCCTTTGCCATAGGTTCAAATGGCAGATTGATCGATGTATCGAAAATCATGCCACGCTTCTGTTACCCCGAGTCCCTTTATACTGAGAGTTAAGACAACACCCCCTCATGGAGTCACAAACGGGAATATAGATTACACAAATTGAACGTTTTCCGTAATCTTTGATCGGCTCATTCTCACATTCCTTTCTCCGTTCACTGGAAAAAAAAAGAACACATTGAATCTAGAGTTCAGACTCTTGAAAACATTTACAAGAAAAAATACTCTTAATTCAATCGGATTTTTGCTTGAATCAAAACGAAATCCGCCTAAATTGAGAGGCTTGGTTCTTGATTTAAGCTAGATTCTGATTGAATCAAGAGTACTTTTTCTTATCGATTTTTTTAAGAGTCTGGGCTCTAAATCCAATGTGTTTTTTTCCAGCTCTCATTCCGTTTGTTCCTTGTCGAACCTGTGATTCCTCGGCCCATTCCAGATTATAATCTTTGCAATTGGTGAAAGTGTAATCTTTATTCCCGTTTATGACACTGTGAAGGTCTAAAATACGGTAGTAAACGAGTTCCATAAAGGGGCTAGAAAAAGTTTTGCGAGACGATGTGTGACCATAAAAGGATCAACTGATCTCTATCAAGCTGATTTGGTGGAGATGGAGGGGTGGGGGAGGAATTATGAATTAACTGAGTATATCTATTACTTTCATTCTTCCCACGAGTCTCACAAGAAGCGTCTCAGAATGATTCTCCTTCAATTGCTCGGGTATGCAAGACCACCACCACGACGCACGAATAGTGGTATCATAATTTAGTAGCACATAAAGGCGTTTTGTAGCCCCGTTTGTTCTACGGAATTCGTTCTCAAGATGATCATTGCCCGGAGCCGAAAGTGATTTAGTCCGGTCACTATTATTCCTTGATGCACTGAGTTGTTTTTTATTCGAAGTATCAAAAATTCAAACGGATTGCGTCATTTAATACAAAAATGATGATAATTATGGACTAACTGTCGAATTTCTTGTGGATTTCCATTAGTTAGTCTATTATTATCTACCTTTATGTCCATTCTAACCGACCGCTTCCACCAATAGGATCCCTCCATATCCTTTTTGCCCTCATTGTCTGCAGTTTTGTCTATCAATTTCAAAAAACATCTACATCTACGAAAATACACGCACTGGAAAAAAAACACATTGGATCTAGAGTCCAGACGCTTGAAAACATTGACCAAAAAAAATACTCTTGATTCAATCAGATTTTTGCTTGAATCAAAACGAAATCCGCTCAAATTAAGAGGCTTGGTTCATGATTTAAGCTAGATTCTGATTGAATCAAGAGTAATTTTTCTTGTCGATGTTTTTAAGAGTCTGGACTCTAGATCAATGTGTTTTTTCCCCCAGTGCCTGTTAAAATAAGAATCGCCGCACAGTGGATCGAGTCAATTTGAAAGGTCGGACATGAAATTGTTGACTAAAATTGCATATTTTGATATTTTTTTCGTCACATTTTAAATTTTATTAGGTGCTTCTCGAAGCAAATTTCTCGAGGAAACCAATGGGACCACTTTTGGAACCTCAAAATTGTGTACAAACGGAGTTATAAGCATTTAAAGTTGCCAAATCCTGTCCGACCTCTCCTATTAACTCGACCCATTGTTCGCCGATGCCAGAGTCTGAAAGTTGCAATAAACCGTGCTTTCTCTGTTCCAGAACTGAAGAATACGATAGAGACCCAAGTGAATGAAATTAAATCGCAGATCGAGAGTAAATGTACACTGCAATGAGTTTTTGGTTGGCGATAATTCATCAATAGCCTCCTCACGCGAGCAGCAAGCCGCAAAAGTGATCAAACATATTTTAGGGCAAACTTCCCACTTTGTGTGTCAGTGAGGACATTGAGTTATATATTTTAATGAAGACCGTTTAGATGTATTTAGTACAATTATAAAGTCATTTGTTCATTGAAAAACGTTATTTGTTCCGCGCCTTGAATTGGACGCATTTATACTAAAAGGAACCATGTTCTACGCAAACCTTATGCACATAGTTCCTTTTAGCATAAAAACGTACAATTGTTTTTATGTTCTTTTTTAGCACATGATAAATTTGATAAAATTGAGTTTTTTCCAAGCTTTAATTTCTATTAATTTTCGTCAAATCGCCGTACAATTGAATGGTTATTTATTCCTTGATTTTTTTTCGTGGTTACTTTCATTTGTGGTTTTCACTCCTTAGCTTCTTCGTTTTTTTTTAAACAATTTTTTTTCGAAATACAATTATTTGTTTCTGATTGAAATCCCTGTTTTTTTAAAGTTAAAACTTTCCCTCATAAACTGTTATTGGTATGTTATTGAATATTGAGGCATTTCATTATCCATTCCCTTTTTAATTTAATTTTATCAAAGCATTCCTGTGCGCCCAACACTGTTCACTGATCAAATTTGTTAATTACCGAATTAAATACCAATTATAAAAGTTTTTTTTCCATGTACATAGATTCAAAGGCAATGTTATTTAATTTATCAGAAAATTTTGTAGAAAAATTAAAGATTAAGTGAAAGAAAACGATCGTTTAAACCACGTGCCATTATTGGTACGGAATGAAACGATCTATGCAATGATTTCAATTATCTTCAAAAATATGAGATCGATCTCCAATCCTCGAGCACGGTTTAGCACTGTGATTAAAACCAATAATCAAAATTACATTCGCTTGTCCGCTTAAGTATGAGTTTCTGATGGACTTTTGAGAACGTAAATTATATTTCAAATAAATGACTTTCGTAACGAAGCTTTTTATACTTGCTCTATGCACCACTTGAAATATCTTCCTCCTTGCTCAAGAACGAAATCGCCCGAGCATTTTAAAATCTTAATTAGTGGGCAGAATTTAGATACATAGTGGACACCCTGAAGTACAAATTGTCATGATCAGGAATTCGTTTAGTTGGAACGCATACAAAACTTGTATTTATTTTAAAGAATGTCAAACAGTGACAATTTTCGTGTTGCGAAAGTTCCACGGAAAACTATGCTGTGCAAAGTCGAATCTTACTGATTTAAATCCCAGCTCCTTTTAATTTGTAATTTTTCAAATCTTGGTCCCCCAAAACTGTTGTGAGTCTCACAAAAATTCAAAAGGAATCCTATTCTCACCAGCAGGAAGGTATTTTCTGAGGTTAAGGTTCCAGATACCTTCTCTAAGAGTGCAATGAAAATATTTTCTCTATGATGATACCCAGTGCTCAAATGAGTTTATAAATATTTTGTTAATTGTCAATCAAATGTGAAGTACGAAGCCAAATAGCAACTAATACGATCCATCAGGGTTAAAAATGATGTTCTGATTTTTGAAGGGCTCTTTGGGTGACAATCGATCGGTTTGTGAGCGATGAGTTTGATATTACTTGTAGTCCGTCTGTCTGCCTCTCTGTCAATGATTGACCTAATTTTTTTCCTGAGAAGTCTCATTAAAATCACCTGATTTTGAACGTGAATCTCAACTGAGTTCAACGAACAATAAATACTACAGCTGCAGCCGTGTGACAGCAAGTGATCATCAAAATCTCAATCGTCTCACCGCTGATCAATAGATTGATTGAATGGTTTATACTTGGAAATGAATGATTTGAGGCGTGTCAACAGTTGTGAGGTGCGCAGAAGCCATGAGATATTTCTTTTTGATTCTAAATACCCTCCAGTTTGTTGATTTCAAAATCATTATTTTGCATTCGTGTAGCGACTATATTTAGAGACTGCAGTGTGAAAATGCTTTGTAAAACTTAAGACTAAAAAGGAGGAAATTCAAAGTTAATTTTATCTGAAGATGTAGTTCTAGGTGTGTAAATTCACTAATACCCAACAAATAACTTGTTAATGTAAACACGTTGTCATGTACATTGATTTGTTTTAAACTCGTTTTAAATCGTTTCTAAATTTTACGTATTTTAAAGCTCCCAAATGCATTGTTGCTTAGATTATTTAGTTTATTGAAAGCATTAAAACTATTGCAACATATTTTTCAGATATTATATTTACTATTTAACGTACTATACTATAATTGCAATTTGTGTATCATAGAACTTGCACTGCACCCGATATTGTTAGCTATTTTGTAGGTAGTTATATCGACTAATTATTTTACTATCTGCATTGTTAGTTGCGTTTTAAAGTCTTATTTATTTTTCTTTTTTATTATTGTACATATTTTGAAGTCTGAATGCCTTCGATTTTTAAGATACCAAGATATTTGAGGTAATGAAAAGTTAAGAAGTTTGCCCAGACAAATTAAGTACTCATGTTGATGCGATACATAATTTATGTGGGATTCCGTATCGATTCAAGTTGCACATGATGGGGTCTTGTTCTATAATTTGCAATAGGATGTAATTAATTGTGATTATACTTCTATGTTCTTTTCATGAATTTCCCCTAATTATTATCAGAATCCCAGAGAGAGCAAATATCAAACGTGACTTTCGAGAGTATTAGAGCGTGTGTACCTTAGAGTACCTTAGACGTCATAAAACCTACTCAACCTATGTAAAACCATTACGTGAAAGGCTATAGATGTACGCAAGTCGCTGTTCTTGAGTGTGATAATTATTTACAACATTCAATCGACACGCTAAAATATTACACGCTTTCCTCTGATAAAACTGTCGAATGTTGGCAAGTTTCTTTATATTTCCAATTAAAAACAAGGACAGTGATGAGAATTATGAAATACACTTCCAAATTAAATGCTTTCAACTCGAATAAGGACGAGTCTAAAATGGACTGCATTTTGCAATTCGGAACTATAATTTCTGGCTCTTCTGGAAAAACACTTATGTGCATAGGGAAACTAATGGCATACGTTGTTTTTAAACCGGGCTAGTTTTTATAGTTCCAAATTGCAAAATGCAGTCCAAATTTGACCGTCACATAACACCGTGCACAGGAATAACGCCGTGTAATCATATCAATGTTCTCACATTTGCAGTAAAGATAAATATATGTATTTTTTGAGGAAAGCCATTTGTGTTTTCCTTTAAATTTTAAGATAATTTAGAGCAAATTGCGAATATAATTCTGTAAAAAATTTGAAGAAAAATATTCGCAGGTTTCCTGGAAAATTTATCTACTATCAAGGAAAATTTGGCAACGCATGAAGGTTCATACGGCGTTTTTCCTGAGCACGCAGTATTGCCCTTACATAAGAGGAGAAATAACTTTAAATACGATATTTTCCAAACCATAAATTAATGAAGGAAGTAAATATCACCCATACCTTTGTCTATTTCGACAACAAATTTACTCTGCCCATCGGTAATTCAAAAACAAAGCCTCTTTTCCTTCAAATTCTTGGATTGGTGTCCTTCAAATTTTTCAATGCAGGTGCTCACTGCCAGTGGCGAGGCGTCAATGATCGATAATCGATATTTCTCCATTTAAAGCTATGGTAAAGAATCGATTGTTAAGGTGTTCGCTGCGAACACCCTAATTATCGATCTTTTTCCATAGGTTCAAATGGCCGATGAATCGATGTATCGCAAAGCACGCCACGTCACTGCTCACTGCCTTTTAGAATCACGGTTTGGCGTTCTTTGTGGGAGCGTGTAAGGAAAAAATCTCATTCCAAATCCTCTGAAAATGGACGGTAAATATGTAGGCTTCAGATCTTTTTTTAGAAGTTAGATTCAGATAGAAATTATGATACATCCGACATATTTTTTTTAGTGTGTATAATGCTCAAATAGTGTAATTGAAAATGATAAGTAGAGATTTACTTAATTGCTCCTTTTCAGTGGCGTGGCTTGAATGATCGATTATCGATATTTCCCCATTTGAATCCGTGGTAAAGAATCGATTGTTTAGGTGTTCGCTGGGAACACCCTGTTAATCGATCCTTTTCCATAGGTTTTAATGACGGATCAATCGATATATCGCAAGGCACGCCACGCTACTGATCCTTTTTTGGATACCTAATTGTTCAAGTGCAATGGCTCACTCACCCGTGAAGGCTTCAAATGCTCTCGGTGCTTATCAACCGGAATCAACATAACTTCTCCAGATGTTCCCTAATTGGACTACAATTTGCAATATAAGGAGCCACCATTCATAAAAACACCTATCTGCATAAGAAAACCAATGGAATATTCGTTGTTTCTAAAATCAGCCAGAAATAGCGGTTCCTTATTGCAAAAAGAAGTTCAATTTATTCTCTTGTTTTTTTCTTGACAGTAAAGTAGACAACACTCTGACTTGAAATTTTGTATCATCTTCTTAATATGAAGAAAATTCATTGATGGTTTCGAGGTGGTATGTTGATTGATTTTCTGTTGAAAAATGTAATGCGAGAATAAATCAGGCAAAGTGAAATTCAAGCAAACTGACCACACTTTTGTGACGGCAGCGTCATTTCTATGGGAAGTACAGACATTTTTCCTCCTTTTGACAAAACAAGAACTGACGTCAATAATTTTAATAAGCCGTTTAAAATTAGGTAAATATTTCCAGAAGTCAGTCACACTGCCTCCTAAAAATTTATGTAAATCTTAAAAAGTTGTTCAGAGGTATGTGTCAGTGAGAACTAAACTGTTCGCTCATTTCAACTACACGTGGCAATAAATTCTGGATAGCACAGCATGCATTCCATATTAAGTTTTGCTTGCTTTTTGCCTACATTAAAAGGACTACATTCTCCAATTAGGAACTATAATTTCTGGCTCAGTTGAAAAACAACGCATGAACCATTAGTTTCTCTATGCAAATGGGTTTTTTTTTATAGATGGGCCATAAATTATAGTTCAGAATAGAAAAATGTGGTCCAAATAGCTCGTGTCATCTGATAGAACTCTTCTGGTTCTCGTCGTGAAATCGAAATGTTAGATACGCTCTCTCTCTCGTCCTCAAAGACTAAAATATGCCCAGCCAGCAAACGAAGCCTTCACAACTGCTTTTTATTTTCATCCCAAATCCTCTTCATTCGCTTGTATCAGGTTGTGCGTGTATTCCATTTTTTACCCGAATGTAGCAATCCATGAAGAAACAAAATATGCTGGAAACGAGTTCTTAAATTCACCAGACATCAATCTTCACCGCACTGGAAAAAAAATTCGCTTGGATCTAGTGTCCAGACTCTTAGTAATATTGACAAGAAAAATACTCCTGATTCAATCCGACTTTTCCTTGAATCGAGGAGCCGAGCTTCTTGATTTAGGCGGATTTCCTTTTGATTCAAGCGAAAATTCTGATTAAATGCCGCCCACTTCCGTTTTAGTGTTACGACGGAGGAAGGGCATCACCATCGGGTACATTTCTTCTGAAAAAGGTAAACCGCTTGAAAACCCGAGCGTGTAACTGGTCCTGAAACCATGTCTTAAAAATCCATTTCTTTTCGAATATTATTTAAATGAGGCACTCGGGTCACCCAATGAACTCTGGTAAATTTTGAGCTCAGAACACGAGTAAAGCTGCTCTAAAAAATTTTTGGCTCACACGACAACATTGCCATTCCGGAATGTTTTACAGTAGATTGTTATACCTACCTACTTTTATGTCATACATCACAACTTGGATCTAGGAGCGATCTCTTCACTTTGCTCAAGAGAAAAGAAGTATTTTAGTTTTATTCTTTCATTGCAACCTATAACCCCTTGCCATACCATTTTTAGGTGAAGGTATTTAACTACATGGTTTATTCTGCTTCAATGTATGCATAATGTTCTGTGCAATGTGAGCCAGTTCTCAAACAAGTCGCTAACATTCGTGTCCCATTAGGCTACACGCAATGAACAGTCAACTCAAGTGGTAATTCGGGTCATGCATGAAATACACGCACAATGACGAATAAAACCCTTTCAACTTTCCAATTTGCTCCCTTGTTTTTACCTTTCAATTTTGTTGATTATTATTCACCGAGGCTCTTATTCATTTTGAGAGTTAGTTTGTTTTATTTAAATTTAAAAAGTCAAAAGAATTGTGATATCAAACACGCATTTTTCTGTGTTTCATCTCAATTTTTCTATACTTAGTGTTTTAATTGCATGATAAAACTCACTGAATGTGTATTTATTCAGTTGCTTAGACAATTAGTAGCCATACTTATTCAAATAGCCCTATTTTAACAGTTGGTTCGATTCAATCGGATAATATATGTACATAAATGGATAAATTAGCCATTTTTTCCTTTTTTGTCTTAACTTCAGTATGCTGATCGAAATCACAAGAAATTAAAGGCATTTCACCGTAATCGCAATTAAATTTTGTACCTCTCAAACAAAAAGTTTAGGTATGTTTTTAAAAACAATGCAAACTCTCTAATTATTTTTGTAAATGTTTAACTTTTCAAAATGGAGTGTTATTGCGTTTGCATCCCGCCAAAATTTGTATCCTTGAAAAGGGTGAAAAACTTCATCACCGGTCAAATTATACAACGGAAAATCGGTCGTAATTCGCTTCGGCAAGTTTTTGTCCGTTTCGAATTAAGTTCGTGGTTAGGATGAGTAAATAGGAAGGTTCCACAGGATTCAAATCATAGACCCTTAGAAATTTTTATCAGCTCCTCTCCTTTAGATACTGTTCTGAGACAAAATTTCCATGCGCAAAATTATCACAAAAATCCTGTCAAAGCTTACAATCCCTTCTGCAAGTAACGGGGTTTTCAAAACTCCCAAATATCCAAGTGCCTTATTATAAATTTACTCACTTTCTCAAGTGAATAAGAACTTCCCTAGTGTGGCAACTTTCTGCTGGTCGATTTTTGCTTGCCTCTTTGTCCTGAAGAATAAACAAAAAACAAAAAACAAAATAAAACGTGAATTAAACATTAAAAGACTCATCCTCTAGCATGCGTGGTAAAATATTAAGTTCACAGATGATAAAATTCAAGTTTTGAGAGTCTCCGATCACATGCTTAAACTAACCCTCAACCAGGAAATCCTTGAGAAAGGAATACAATTCAAAGCATTTAAATACTTGTAAGTTCAATGTCCCAATTTGTTTGATCAAGAGTGTTTAGGCCAAGCGCGTGTCAAATAACTTTTATGTGATCAAGAGAATGTAATGTATTCATAAACGATTTCACACTCAAATGTACTCTCATATTATGAATGTACCGTTTCTGATGTGTCCTCAACTCCTCCCTACGTACCTGCACCTTTTAATATGTCTTTTAATCTTCTTGTCTCTCTCTTCTCTGTTTTAGCCTCTCACTTGTTTTATCAAAACTCATATTGTCCCTAAAAGCTCAGCGAGATATTGTAATTCATCAATTGTTACCTATGAAAAGTAATTGAATAATTGCATCTTCATCTTTCGAGAATCAGTTTCAACATGAACCATCGTTGAGAACAATTATTAAGTACACCACCAAGTGTGCGAAATTCCAAGTCAAAGTTTCTCACACTTTTTGCTCAGTTTTTCAAAAATGGTCAGGATTTCCTGTTTTCGACGGTTTGATACCGTGGCTTTCTTCTCAAGAAAATTTTCTCACGCTGTCTCACCTATAAAAGATGCAGGAAAAATTGGACACATACACACTCGCAAATACCTACACGTAAACTTTAGATACAAAGCAACAACATGAATTGTAAATGAGTATGCTGTGTCTCTATTATTGTCTCGTGAGCTTCGAAATAGTTCTTATAAAGTTTTTCTAGGTAAGGAGGTGTTATCATTACAGATTTTCAGTATTTAAATCATTCAAAGATCAACAGAAATCTGTCAATTCCTCATTTATTAAATATCAGCATCTCCATAAACTCACACATTGAATCAATGAACTCTCTTCCGTTCGGTAACCTTTCAAGAATCAATATTGAATTCGTCGTATTCGGAAGTAGTTTCGATGAATCGTAAAAATTTAATTTCCCCTCTGTGAAATCTTGAGTGAAAAAAGGAAATTCATTTGCGATTGAAGAAAGTATCCTGAGTACGAAAAAAGAAAAGGCGTTAAAGTATTAAATGCAGGTGGTTCATTCTTTGATATTTTCTCATGAAAGTTTGCTGGAGCAAGTTACCTGATAATTTAAAGCAATACATTTTTCCTGTCAATATACCTAGGTAAATGTCATCATAAAACGAGTTAAATCTGATCTCTTTCTTCTTCTCTTCTTCTCTTCTTCTCTTCTCCTCTTCTCCTCTTCTCCTCTTCTCCTCTTCTTCTCTTCTTCTCTTCTTCTCTTCTCCTCTTCTCCTCTTCTTCTCTTCTTCTCTTCTTCTCTTCTCCTCTTCTTCTCCTCTTCTCTTCTCCTCTTCTTTTTCCCTCTCATGTCACCTTTTCATCACCATCCTTCTCGAACTTTCCCTAATTTTTCATGTCTATCGCAAAATATTACAAACCCCTCGCCTATGTCTGTTCTCTTCTCTCTTCATATTCCTTCTCTTCGGCATCTATCGCGTCTTCCCTGCTATCTATTTCAACGAGACGTTTATATTTTCAATCTTTCTATGTACATCTGTGCTTTTTTTCAGAATTCAGTGTCTATCTCCTATTTCACCTGTTGGGTAAGATGGTTTTACCATCAATATTTTTCAAAACTTAGCCCCGATAGGTACACGGGTCTATTCTTTTAATATGTTGATGCTCCATCTATGAGCTTTCTAACAGACTTGTTCCTTCCCCTATTCGTCCAATACATCCTCTTCTTTTCTGTGCCCCTCTTATCCACCTCTCTTTTTCCTTCTTTTCATCATCTCGATTGTCCTTTCTGTTTTTTTTTACTCCTCGGATTACCACCTCCGCTGCTTCCTATACATTCTATCGCCAGTATCTCCTCTATCAATCTTTTCTCTTAAGCGTCTTCTGACTCAGTCTTTTCACCCATCTCATCACATCTTTTTCACCCAGTCACAACTGCCATGGTGGGGAAAAAGGGTAAATGAACTTTTGGGCGTTGCCAAATGTCTCTCAATAAAATTCTAATTTTCTAAAAAATTTTGACCCTCGAGTTTTCCAGAGACTTTCCTTTGGAACGTACTTCGGTGTTCGTGAAGTTATCGAGGGAAAATATTCATATTTACACCCAAAGATAGATGTTTTATTGAGAAAAATTTGGCAATTTTGAATGTTCATATTGCGTTTTTTCTCAGCATGTCAGCCAAGCAATAGGATCGACACTATCCAACGGATAAAGTGCGTTTCATTACGTAAAATCGTATTTTCGTTCGTGTTCAAGATAAGCACTTCTCACCTGTGGTCAAAGTAAATTCCTCTCTTCCCAACAATAGAGCTCTGGTTTATCCTTCATTTCATATCGACACCACGGTAATGTTTCCAAGTATAAACCTCTATTACATACGTCTTGCAGAGAGATATTATTTTTAAACTTCATCTGAGCTATAGTCTGTAAATCCTTCTGGCCGTTTCACCAGTTGCTTTCGTTTCTTCCTGTGAGTTAATATTTACACTCAAAAGCGTGGAAAAACTCGCACTGTTAAAAATCTGCGAATGAATTTGGGAGTGTAATCTACTCCAGTCTTACTTTCCCTCCCAGAAAACCCGGATGGTGTAAATGCATCTGGTGAGGTAAGCCCCTCTTAAATTTATAGTCCGGGTAATTAATGAAGTAACGACAAACGAGCTAGTGAAAATATCTACATTCGTGAAATGTTTGCCTATCTTTTGAATAACTGTTAACTGACAAATTTTGCTCACTCTCATGCTTAGCTCATTTTTTTTTCCTTTTCAAATTGCAACCGGTTGGAAAATACCGCTTTACACTAACCGGATGGAATTGTTTGTACAGTGTTTTGCAACATTTCGCAGTCATAATTTTACAATAATCCAGCTTATACGCGAGGGGATCGATCAAAAGTAAAAGCCAAAATTATTTCTATGAATTTAATCGGTTTGCATGAACCTCAAACTAACATAAAACCTTAACAGCATTTCAAATTCGATTTTTCTTTAAAAAAATAAGAAAGAACACTCAATCTTTTCCTTTTTTTCTCTTTGCATAACTTTTACGTGCTCTATTACCTGCTGTTCTGATTCCAATGCCCCGTGAAAAAACATTATTTTTAACACAGAAATAGTTTTAACATTGAATAGTAAGTAGGGGTTTTGAAAGTTAGAAGTTTTATTTCAAAAACCATCCTCATACCGGAAAGGAAAATGTATAATTACCAAAAATTAGGGAAAATGTGTACTTATTATGTGGTTTGTAACTAGTTGTAGATTTACCTTTCTAGTTGCGCAATAACTTAACTTGTAGGTACATTGAAAGTATTTGAATGCATACAAATTTATAAAACGATTTTTAGAAGAACCTGTTGGTATATTTAAATAAACATTATTGTTGAGTATTTTCAATCGTTTTACTTCTTTTGATTCTCAATGAACTCATCGTGTGCTTCGAATGAGTGAACTCGACATTGCTACGCTTATACTGCCGTGCTGAGGAAAAACGCCGTATGAACCCTCAGGCGTTGCCAAATTTCCTTTGATAAAACGCGAAATCCCCGCCAAACCTATGACTATCTTCTTTCCAATTTTTTAGATAATTTTGTTCGCAATTTCACCCGAAGTCCCTGAAAATTTCGAGGAAAAATATTCAAATCTTTTTTCAAAAATAAATATTTTATCGAAGGAAATTTGGCAACTCTCGAATGTTCATACGGCGTTTTTCCTTAGCATAGCAATACAGCTCACAGTAGCTCACAGTGGCGTGGCAGGACGAAAATAAAAGGGGATGCTGTCGTCTCGATCTAGTTCTTTTTTTTTTTTTTTTTTTTTTTTTTTTGGAACATTTTTATCGTCTTATTTAGTCGTCGTCTTTTATCGTCCAAAGGCTTCTCCATGTCTACTGGCAACACAGTTACTGAATTAAAAATATCGAAAACGAGAAATCTATATGATTTTCGAAAAAAAAAAACCATCTCCGTTGAAAAATTATCCGTAGGACTTTCTTACGGGTAAAATTCCAAAAACGCGAACTCTAAAAGCGCGAATGAAGATAAAATTCTAGCTGGAGCGCAACTCAGCTATGTATTCACAACTGCAAAAATTTCAGAGGAAATCGAAAAGGCCAGCGTGCATGAAGGCTATTTCAATTGTGATCTTCCGTCACCTTCTTACGGCGCAATGATACAACTATTTGAACTCTTCGGAATGCGTGAGGTATCACGCCGCATTTGAAGGCGTTTTCAAAGCAGCCAAGTTCCGATACCCGGATTATCGTTTTGCATAGTTCATATTATTTTGTTATATTCCGTACCGCTTGTTAATTTTTAATCCTCGTATGAAAACCACCCATTTGCTAAATACAATTGAGGAGCTTTCCGGAAAAAGGCACATACCGAAAAAACAAGTTGTGAGAAAAACTCATTTGATGTTTTCATTCCTACTTTCTGGGCACTGATGATGACATACATTGGAACTGGGGCACTCATATCAACGTTCATACACCCTAGAATGAATAACGACAATTAGTAAAACTTACACTTCTTTCCGTGTTGTGGGAGGAATTTTTTAAAATTTTCCGTTATGTGCCCTTTTTCCGGAAATGGACCGGTGGTTATAGGTTTGGCTTTCAAAGCTAAATTTTCAAGATTTTAACGAGTTTCTAAACGAATATAAATCATAATTTCGATCGCGAACGTGCAAGTGCATCATTTTCGATCATTGTAATAAAAAAGACAGCAAAACACGCGAAAATGTCGAAAAATTCAAACCCACAAGAAACCATTAAAAATTGAATCATTAATAATTACAAAATTTCACGTGTCGCCGGTGCAACACGTAGACAATCACTGCAACCCGATGATATTGCATTCATTAGTAGAATCAGTGCGATGCATCTGTAGTGAGGGATCCTTACTTATATCAGTACCCATCACCTGCCTGCCTGCCTGCGCCCTGCGCGCTATCTCCTCAACTTCGCGTCGCGGCGACCGTACCCAGGGGCAAATAGATGAAATACGCCTGACTTAACCTCACAAAACTTGGTCTCTTAGCTCCAAAAATTGATCAATTCAGCTGAAACTCGGGACATTGGTTTATTAGGGTGCGAGGAATCCGTTTCTGCCATTTCCGGAAAAAGGGCACATAAGCGTATGTGCCCCTTTTCCGGAATGCTCCTCGATTGGATGTAAAGACATTTTCCTACCAAGCGTTTGGTCCTGCCACGCCGTTTTCTGAACCGATCAAAGGTTGATGTATAATTCTGACTTGATTTCTTTTTAACCTTTAAACAAACATGTGATGATACGCTCCCAAAATTTTTTTCTGAAAATGTTCCCAGGTCAAAAAGTGCAGGGTCAAAGCCCATATTTTAAAAGGTCAACGTTGTAATACATTTAAAGAATGGGCCAGTTGCGCTAGTAGGTATTTAATAGGATCGTTTTTTAATGTTTGATTCTTGTAGATTAGCTAAAAATAAGAAGATCTGTCCAAAACAGTAACTTTTTACGTTGAATATTAACCGAGATATCGTCCTTTACTTTAAAAAGACGGGATTTTAACGTCATCCACCGCAGTAGTGCATAATATGGTATTTAATTTACTACCGCGGTGGATGACGTCATAAACGAGTTTTTCAAGGCGCGATTCCTCGTATAACATCCCACGTTGAAAGTGGCTGTTTGGACAGATCTTATGCTTTTTAGTTGATCTGCAAGAATAAACCATTAAAACACCATTCCGTGACCAGCGCAACTGACCCAAGCATTTTTCGGATAGCTTAGAATGTTAGGAAAAAAATCAGTAATAGTTACTTCATCGGTGCAAAGGCGCCTGAGCAGCAGTAACTTTGTTCAATGCCGTTCAACGCCAAGGAAATGCGACTTCTCAACGACTTGAGCGCGCACCGTGGTATACGCGCAACGCATGCAGTATCTTGCAAAATTGTAAGGCGCCACTATGCCTTGCGCGCACCGTGCTGTATACGCGCAATGCAATCAATGCATGAAGTATCCTTCGGTCTTGAAAGGCGCTTCTATGCTTTTCACGAAAAAACGTAACTACATTTCGGTGTTGCCAAATTTCCTCTCGCAAATTGTATATTAATCAGGACAATCTTGGGTGTTTCTAACTGAAAATTTTACTGATTTTTCCTCAGATTCCGCGCAAAATTTTGAAAAACTTTGGAAAAAACCGCACAGGTACATTATTATATATAAAATGAATCAATTGTTTGAGTCAATTTGGCAACCTTAGATTGGAGTTGCGTTCCTTCGTCCAGGAGACGACCATATTACCAATACATTTTTTTTATAATTTTCTGATACGGTCTGATTTTTAAAAGAATTTTGTGAGGTTTAGAATGGATTTTAGACCGAACCAAAGCGACAATTGAATACACTTCGCAATTAGGAACTATAATCTCTGGCTCCGTTTAGAATCAACTTATTTACGATTAGGTTCCTTATGCACATGAGTTTTTTTACAGATGAGCCGGAAATTATAATTCCGAATTGCAAAATACAATCCTATTCATCCTACTCATAGCAAAACTCGGGGATGCCGCAGAAATCAGTACCGCCTAAATTGCATTACACGAATTTCCTTCAAAATCCGGCTAATCTAATTTTAATAAACTGACTCTGCTTTTACAGGGAAATTCGTCTTATTTCAAAAGAAAAACGGAGAAGAAGAGATTCCCGATTTCTGGAACAGACTTCCTGATTTTCCCGGAATTTTTCATGCCCTGAAAAATTCTATAATTCCCAGTCGAGCCATTTTTTAAAAAATCCTCATATAAAAATTACCCTTTTGCTTAATACAATCCTAACTTGAGCTCACATTAACTACTCTTTTACGACTACAAAAATGACACAGAAAACCTGAATAGGCCAGCCTGGAGGCTGCTTCAATGTTCATTCTTTATATTCCGTTGCGTTAATAAGGCGCAATGATACAACTATTCGTACTCTCCGGAATGCGGGAGGTATCACGCCACAATTGAAGGCGTTCGCAAATCTGTCAAGTTTCGATATCGGGACAGTCAGTCGTGACGCATCTAGTTCGGAGCACAAGATCGATGGAATAACGGATCTTAAGAGTTAAGGTGATTCGATGGGCGCCATATTTTGTGTCAGAACGGCATGCGAGATATCGCATCAATTCACACATGCAAAAACTCCATTGAGAAGAGAAAGTGTGCTCCAGAGCTCATTTTTCCACATGGAAATTCTCAGGGATCGGTTCAGGCAAAATAATTACGCAATTTCGATTTTTTTTTTTAACTTTGACTCTACTCTCTTTTCTGTGCTATCTTTTAAAGATTATTAGCATTCAGAAAATAATTACTTGAACATTATCTATTGAAAGAAGAGAAGAGACGAGACGAGAGAGCCACTCTCGGGGGCGAGGCGTGAATAATCGATATTCCTCCATTTGAAGCCATGGTAAAGAATCGATTATTGAGGTGTTCGTTGTTCGTTGCGGACACCCTGTTTATCGATCCTTTTCCAAAGGTTTAAAAGGCAGATCAATTTATTCAGGGAAAGCACACTTTCTCTTCTCGATGGAGATGTTGCATGTGTGAATTAATGCGATACCTCGCATGCCGTTCTGACACAGAATATGGCGTCCATCGAATCACATTAAATCTTAGGATCCGTTATTCCATCGATTTTGTGCTCCGAAGTAGATGCGTCACAACTGACTGTCGCGATATCGAAACTTGACAGATTTGCAAACGCCTTCAATTGTGGCGTGATACCTCCCGCATTCCGGAGAGTACGAATATTTGTATCATTGCGCCTCATCAACGCAACGGAATATGAAGTATGAACATTGAAGTAGCCTCCAGGCTAGCCTATTCAGGTTTTCTGTGTCATTTTTGCAGTCGTAAAAGTGTAGTTAATGTGAGCTCAAGTTAGGATTGTATTAAGCAAATGGGTAATTTTTATACGAGGATGTTTTAAAAAATGGCTCGACTGGGAATTATAAAATTTTTCAGGGCAGGAAAAATTCCGGGAAAATCAGGAAGTCTGTTCCAGAAATCGGGAATCTCTTCTTTTCCGTTTTTCTTTTGAAATAAGACGAATTTTCCTGTAAAATCCGAGTCAGTTTATTAAAATTAGATTAGCCGAATTTTGAGGGAAATTCGAGTAATACAATTTAGGCAGTACTGATTTCTGCGGCATCCCTGAGTTTTGCTATAGGTAGGATTCTGATCAGCTTGGTAAATTTTGGAAAAATGAATGGTCTTGAAAGCAATTTTGAGCTGCTCTCATCGAAAAGTTGAACGTATTTATGCTAAAAAGAACTATGTCGCACGCAGTCCCTATGCACATAGTTCCTTTCAGCATAAATATGTCCAGTTGATTTGATTACAATTTCAAAAGTGACAGTTAAGTCTCGCACTTACATAGCAAAATTCCTTACATTTCTTTGTAGAGGCCGAGTAGATTTCAATGGGGGCCAGCCCACCCGCTCTCACAACATATCTGCCCATGGCTAGAGCTCTCGTTTTCAGATTTTTAATTCACTTCTAGAGCAACATTCAAGTGTGCAAGTTACCTTACTCTAGGATCAAAATGATTTCCATGCCTCTAAAAATGCTAAAACAACTGGTATTTTTCAACTATTGTATCGATTATTTTAAAAAGATTTGGCAAACATGTAAAAAACCAGATTGTGGTTTTTAGGGACCATTTCTATAAATGATTAGGTAAAAAGATTGGCTTTGCGGATGTAGGAGATTAATCCCCCATTTGCAAGCTCATCAAGAATTATTCTGCCCGGTTATAGAATAGAGTCCAAAACTTTAACCTTTTTTTGCTTGAAATCAAAGAGGCTGAACTTATGCACTTAGTCTTTCAAGGGCCTCGATCTAGATGTTGAGCCATTTGGAAAATTTTAGGGATAATTCCAGGAAAACTGACATCTCATCATAAAAGATTGAAAATTACCTAATAGCCTGCCCAAAACGAAAAAATAAAGAAATGAGCCTGAACGCAAGTCAGAATTTAGATCAATTTTATTTTTATAAATCGAATCAAATTTGAAATTATTTTGTGTCAGTCACACAAACCAAAATACTGATCAAAATATTTGTCTTACAAATAACTAATATATCTGAACAAATATGTAACATCATAAAGCAACTACAATACAAACAAAAACAACTTAGGTACAAACTAACATCTTCATCACGTTATTTTGAATTAATTAATTACAAAAGATAGAAGAACTGAGACAAACGAAACATAGATACAAAAGAATCTTAGATGAGTATTTCAAAGGTACAAAATATGTATAAAAAGGATACAAAAAGAAGGTTAAAGCGGCAAATGGATAAAACAATACCGAGTCATCCGACATGAAATTTTACTTAGGATGATACCTTCATCAAACATCTGAGAGAGGGGGCATTCACTTCTCATCAGGGAGACATAGTACTTTGAAAAGTATGAATAATTACAATTTACAACATCCAGAGATCCAACATACAACAATCTATACTTAAAAATTAATACCTAGTCCATCTAACAAATTAACGACAGATGATTAGTATATCACAATTTTTGATTAAAAATGAGTGAGCTCTGACCCTCTAACAAATCCTTAACTCAGAGTCGGTCCTTCTCCATGAGCATCTTGTAGATAGTTGCATTTCAAACAGAATATCAAGGACTGAATGTGAAAAATACGTAACTCAATTGCATTAGTCATTCTCAAAAATACTTAAGCACCACAAATGAAAATGCGAGAAAAACATTAGAAACTAGATACCTAACTTGTCTCATTCTAAATCTTAAATTAATTTAGAATGTGATTGATTAATAAATCGTTCTAGTATTTTTGCGCCTAGATCTTTAGAATGGGTAATTTAAAACAGTTTTCACTGGTTTTTTTTTTTTTCATATTTTGATTTTTAGAACTTATGTAATTTTGAGAAAGACCAATTCAAAGTGTTCCAAAGTGGGAAATATCCTATTATTTTTTATTTTCTGGTAGGAAACGAATCGAAAAATTTCAATAAGAACTGTTGATTACTTTCCCTTCAATAAAATAGAACTTAAGCAGAGACTTACAGTGTCGCAATCTGAGTTACACATTTTTCAACTTTAGCCGTTGATGAGAGTAATAAGCCGGAAAATATTGATGGTTGTGCTACAAAATTTTCAGTGAGCAAATAATACAATGATGAGATGCTGAACTTCAAATGCTGGGATGCTTTGGTCATGTGAACTTCTCGTAAAAATTGAAAAAGAGGACAGACCTTATGAATTCTAAGAACTAAAATTAGTTAATACCACCAAGTGCCTTGACTCCGCCAACAGACATTTAGAGGGCTAATTTTAAAATGACAAGGTGGGTAATAGATCTATTTTGCCGCATTTAAGTTTACTTAACAGTTATTTTGAAAGGGGGGGAGAGAGGCAAGGAGGATTGAAAAACCACGCTTTGAATAGTTTGAAAAGGACCAAAGGCTCAAGAATGATAATTGATGGTAGTTTGCCCCATCAGCAAAATGCAATCGAACTTTCAATTTTATCAATGTGGCAACTAAAAGATTAACACCAAGTCTTTCAATAAATAGTTTAACTGTCACTAAGATACAGAGAGATCACAAAAAAAATAAATATTTAGCATGATAAAATATACAAAGGATATCAGTATAATGTTTTTAATTCTATACCTCCATAAACTCAGAAAGTTAACTTTAGAAAGTCAGTGAACTTTCCATTGAATCAAGTGCTCCTGCAGATCCATGGAGAAACTTCAAAAATACCTATCTCCGTTGCAGCTTTTCAAAATCTCCTCCTATGTTTCACCATTTAAAGGGAAGTCCAGCCAACCTTCCGGCTATAAATTTTGGTAGAATATTTTTCTTGTAGGGAAAAAACACATCCAAAGTTCTTGAGAAATTACGCCTATTGGTTCCCCATGTGAAAAATAAAGTATGGCAGGAAGCCTGCAACGTCGCAAACATAGATAGAGTTTCTGCAGTCTCACCATTGACATGTGAGCATCTCATTTTGTAGATCTAACAAAACATTCAAGAAATCAAATAATGCATGGCTATTGGACCCTTACTTTACTTCGTTTATACTAAATTTCAGTCATTAGTTGAGTCAGTCTCTAGGATATAACTTGTTTACAAAATTTCATTTAACAGAAAGCGACTATTATCCATACAGATTTTCACATTTCTTAGTGATCTAAAATAGTTGATGCTGAGACAAACAGGCAGAATTTAGAGACAAAAAGCAATTTAATCAACTTTCTCATTGATTAATTTATTTCACCCAAAATTGTTTGCCCTGAAGCAAATAATAAACTTCTATGCAAGGCATAGAAGTAAAATTTGACAGTCTTTAAAATACAGCTTGAAAGAGCAACCTTGACAAGAGTCGCTCACATTAATTACCTTCCGTGTTTGCCACAAATTAAATGCCTGAATAATGAAAAACATTGATTGCAGCGAGAGGTTTGAGTGAGAATTTGGTACTCAAAGATGATGCTCTATTGACATTCTACTAGAGTTGAGGCCTTGCACTTTTTTTTCATTTAGGTAATATTTTGGTGCATTTTGGCTACATATTTTGCAATCCGGATTCAGTCTAAGGATTGTGGTAGAAAGTGACAGAAAAGTTACCCTGAAACTGGAATAGGCATTAAAACTTGAGGAGTAATTTCAGTCTTTTTAAAATTTAAGGCCACGACAAATCTCCTTTTCATTTATAATTTTAGATTTAACAAAAATAAAAGATGACTCTTTGTTGAGGAATATCAAATTTCAAGCTCAAACATTCGAGAAAATCCATCGTTTAAATCAGTTTTTTTACACCTGTGCAATTGTACAATAGAATCTACAAAGTTGAACATACAATATTCACAATCAGACTTAGTCCCAAACAGTAGGTACATGCTTACATACATACATAGCTATATAAAGTAAAAATTTGATCTTATTCCTATTTAATGCGAGGTTCTGTTCCTAAAGCACGATCAAAGACCATATGAAATTATCAAATTACAAAAGATAGGTGGGCGCACCGGGCACATTCAAAAAAATCTCAAGTAAAAACCTGTGAATCAACTCCGAAAACACACCGGAAAACATGAACAACTGAAGTCACATCAATAACCGGTTGAGTGGCAAAATTATCATGCAGTTTTTGCTGATAGTTCTTCATCTATCATTTGACAAATACAGAAGAATGAGTATTCTAACAATAACATATCGATCTCTGACGATATTGTTCGAGTAAAGAGAGAACAGATGGCCCACAAGAACTTACATGATGATAAAACATCGTGATATTTTTGGTACAGTCACAAAAAAACACCTCCATTTAAGTTTCAGAACATACCAGTTTGCTTGAAGCTTAAAGCGATAGCTTTGTCCGTAACATCCTGTTGTGGCTACGTAACACATTCATTCTAGGATGAACCATTTTGAGATCAACAGGCATCGCTGAGAAGGTAGATGGACGTTTTAGGTCATGAGAAGTGTTTTCCTGGTTGCACCATTATTAGTTCCAAACTGTACGGCCACCCTAATTTGCTTACTATCTAAGAATTTGACAAAAAAAATTAAGGCACCATAATGAAAGAATACAAAATTACCTACTTACTGCCCAACAAATAGGCTTATTCCAAAAGAGATCACTGATAAGATGTTATTCGGGGAATATTTTTACTAATTGAATGACACTTATTCTGAGGCATTTGCTGTGCGTTAGGCATCATGTGGTTTTGATGAAACCCATGTTGACCCGCCATGTTTGGCACAAAAGAATTGTTCATCATTTGATTATAGTGGAAATTTTGATTGCCTAAGGGGTGCATGGCCATATTCATATTCGCGATATGGTTCGGATGGTTCATCGAGGGATTCGCTGGATGGTTCATTGGTGGATTTGTTGGATGGTTCATAGGCGAATTCGCTGGATGGTTCATTGGAGAATTCACTGGGTGGTTCATGGAGGGATTAGCTGGGTGGTTCATGGAGGGATTAGCTGGGTGGTTCATTGGAGGGTTTGCTGGATGGTTCATTGTGGCATTAGATGGGTGACTCATCGGAGAATGAGGATGATTCATCGGAGACTGAGGATGATTCATAGGGGAATGAGGATGGTTCATGGGTGAATGCGGATGGTTCATCGGCGAGTGAGGGTGATTCATTGGAGAATGACTATTCGGATAACTCATTGGTGAATGGTTACTTGGGTGACTCATGGGGGAACTACTGTTTGGATATTTTAAGGGAGAAGCGCCAGCGAAAGACATCTGTCCATTCATTACTGGGTTCATCGGACCGTTGACAGGAGGATTCAACGGACCATTGGCGGTAGGGTTCATCTGAGGATTTGTTTGCCCGATGGGAACATTTGAGGTGGGTCCATTCATGGTCTGATTATTTACATTGATTTGGTTATTTACACCTGGGACCGCGGTGTTCATTTGTCCGCTTACTACTGGGTTCATTTGACTATTTGCACCAGGGGCCATTTGACCATTCATGGCAGGGTTCATTTGGTTGTTGACTACTGGATACATTTGAACATTAGCACCAGCATTCAATTGGCTGCTCATATTATGATAAATTTGTGGATTCATCTGCCCTGCATGCATTTGATTACTCGTATTATGTTGACTACCCATGCCTGAAGACATTGGACCGTTAACGTTGGAGTTCATCTGTCCACCAACAGTGGGATTCATTTGAGGGGCGGAGTTATAATTGCTGGTATCTATGGAGCTTTCCATGTTTTGCGGCATTGCACTTGACTCAGAAATCGTGCTCATTTGGCTCATAGGACTTCTTATCTGCCAATTCATAGACTCAGGAGAAGGCTGTGGTACCTGTCAAAACCGGATAAGAAGAAAATATAGTAACTACAGAGGAAGGATTCATTTTATGAACAGCTTGACAAGCCTAGGATTTCAAAATTCTCGGATTTCTCTGTAACTTTTCAATGCTTCTTTTTCATCCATATTTCTCTTGAAAATGCTTTTCACAAAAAACATAAGTGTAGAGTTTCTTAAAATTAAAAAAATTCAACATATGGGAATTATGAGGCAGAAGCTCTGAATTTTAAAGCCTGTAAGTGTAAGCATTAGTAAATAACTAAATATTATGACTAGAAGAAAAAATTTCAAGATTTTGCAACGAAAGTCCCTGACATTACATAGTTGCCCAAAATTCCCTGATTTTTCCATACTTTCAATAACTTGTCACCCTGATAAAAAAATTATGAACAGTGAGTTGGTAAACATTCAAAGGAAATACGTCTCATTTCATTGAAGTAACTGTCAGTAATCGTTATCTTGATTTAAAATAAACCTTTGCTGAAGATAAAATGGATTGCATTTTGCAAAAAGGATCCACTAGCATTGCAATGATGCTAAGATTGTGCAACTTCATCTTTTGCAATAAAATTGCAGAAATCGTGAAAAACTATGAAATTTAGATGGTAATTTTTGTCTTAAATTCACAGTTTTTAGCGAGTAAAAAAGAAACTATTAATGGATAATCAGGTTTTTCCTCCAAGACAAAAGAAGTTGCACAATCTTAGCAACATTGCAATGGTAGTGGTTCCTTTTTGCAAAATGAAATCCAAATATATTTGCTACTACTTAATAGTGGAACTATTTTCATAGCTAATGAAAAGTCGGTAGGACACCTGTGCAAAAAAGAGAACAAGTACAGTTTGCATGATCTTTAAAATGGTAAATTCTGCAAAATAATCACCTGATTTTCATGGAGGAAATTGAGCACCTCATCGGGAAGGACAAGCTTGTTCTCTATAGCTTCGTCATCAAACGAGTCCAAAATGACCTCTTGGTTCGGGTGATCGGTTGTGAGTGAGGCTGACCGAGGTCTGGGCATCATCGATGGAGCGGAAACAGGTTGACAAGGCTCAGACATGCGCCTGTTTTCAACCCCACTGGCAGTGCTGTTTGCAAGGACGGTGGTTGCACACGAGGACCACATTGGGTTCTGAAATGAGAGCATGAAAGATTTTTTAGTGATGCATTCATGAGAGCATGAAAGATTTTTTAGTGATGCATTCAGTCTATTATTTACAAAGTGAATGTGCCTGCTTTTTCAAATCATTTACTTTCTTCTCATTTTGTCTGGACTGATAAAAAAAGAGGCTTTTTCTTTTGTTTTTCATTTTTTGTTATGTCTGCTATACAAAATTATTTCCTTTGTAAAAATAAATTTAAAAAAAATGTTTCCACTTAGTTGAGAAGTGCATTTTCAAATCATTTACTCTCTTCTCATTTTGTCTGGATTGATAAAAAAAAGAGGCTTTTTCTTTTGTTTTTCATTTTTTGTTCTTCCTGCTATACAAGTTACTTTCTTTTTAAAAAGAAATTATAAAAAATGTTTCCACTTAGTTGAGAAGTAAAATTATTTCATAAATTTCCCAATTGCTAGTATCACTAGTACAACTAAAGTTCATCAGTATGTAGTTTTCTCACATGTAATCTACCTCTAAGTTAACATTTGCAAGTTTGAAACTGATTTCCAGACTTGCTCACGGGCTTTTCAAACAGTACATAGTGCTAAGAATCGGATTTTTCCTTTCTCAAACGCTGATGTAGCTCCGTACCCTAAAATATGTAACAAGAAAATAGCATAACCCTCCGCTTGATCTACCTTCGTCCCTACAGAGTTTTGCATTTCGTGAACAACCCCTCAGGTAAATGGCCTTTCTTTTCTTTCTAATTCTCTTTCTTTGGAATGTAAGGAATAAAATGAAGTACACACCATCTGCGAGCCAAATCCCATATTAGAGCTGGCAGTGCTGGAACGTCGAGATGAGCCCACTGAGATTGGATCATAGAAAGATGCGTCGCTCAATCGGTGATGTTCGGACGTCTGAAATTTAGGAATAAAAAATCATGACTTATCACTTATCATAACTTATTAAAATATGCTAAAATTATGCAATTTATGTACTCCTTCAATTTTTTGAATATTCCAGCAATAGGAACTTGTTAAAAATCCACAACTTCTAAGCTTTTACCAAACCGGTAACATAGAGCCTTAAAAATCTCTGCTATCAAAGCTACTATTTCATTTAGTGTTCATAGGAGATTTTTTTGACTTGAAATATTGTTATCTGTTAATTTACACACTCAAACTAACTTGATATGCATTTCCAAAAAGTATGACTTCATTTTTCCCTAAAGCCCAAGTAGGAGTGATCGCGATAAATAGCAATTTTATCGGTTGGTTATGACGATTATATCAGTGGCAATATATCCAGGTATTATCGCATTAAAAATTGCGGTTTATGGCGATTAATTTGCTGCACATCGCAATTTTTTGTTCCATAAAATCGCAATCAATTTTCGTCAATAAAATCGAGATTAAATCGCCATTTAACGCGATTTTTACTTCGAATATATCACAATAAATTGCCTGACGATAAAATCGTGATTTTATTCTAATAAGATCAAGGATAATCGCTCAGATATTGATGATCCTAGCGATTTTATCGCCGATAAAATTGCAATATACCCCGATTTTTCTGTTGAAAAATGCTACTTGGGAAGATCTCGCCCTTAACTGTTCACACTTTTCTTCATCATTAGGTGCGTCCACAGATTTTTAATTAGTTTGCCCCTATGTACACTGAAAAATTATTCAAATGTAAGGAGTTGATTCTAAGGACTGGCAAAGGAAACTTCGGCAAAAAGAATGAGCCAACATTTTTTTCTCTCGATATTTTTTACTGCTTTCTTGGGAATTGCCCTGACAGTAACTTGAGAATGTTACCTTAATTTTCGAATTATTTTGATTTATCTTCCTTAAAAATTAACCGCTTTATTTATAGATAAGCTGAGCTACGTATAAGTGGAAAGCTGTGGCAAAAGACGACCAAATAATGAAATATTAATTCCAAAGGAACAGTCTAAACAAATAAATTACCTGTGAAACTTGACTATTCCTGCGACTATCCAAATCTGCCGACTTCATGCTCCCATAATTACTGACCGTCGAGTTGGAATCCCGTCGGATGATAGTGTCTCCTCCATTTCCTCCTGCAACTTTCAGGTCCGTAATTTTACGGTTCAAATCGCTGATCCCACCAAAACTTCTTCGGTCACCTACAAAAGAAAATGAAAATTCGTTGAAAAATAGCTTGGATAGTGAGCCAATTTCAGATGATGTTGAATGACACCGAATTTTCCTCCGTTAAGAGCACTCTTTTACGTACCACAATCCTTGGAAAATTGATGCAGTAACTCACAGTGCAAAAGTTTTTGTAACCATAATGCGAATACTCGGCAAACCCTTCATAAAAGTTTATACGGCCCAAATGAAAATATTAGTCTTTCAATATCTTTGTTTTTGCATTAACAAAAACTTATCACATTGCAAGTCTTTCATAGATAGTCGAGGAAATACACACGGTCGAGACATTAGCGACATGAAAATTGGCCACAAGCAAAATAAAAAACTTGGTCTCAGACAAACCAAAAGTAACTTGTGAAATTGCAGTATATTGATTAATTATTGAAGCGTTATTGAAAATCTTACCTTGGTGATGAGGCATTATTGGTAGAGAAGGAACACTTTTGGCACCCATTTTGACTTTCATGTTGTGGATATTGTGTCGTTGCACTGGGGCAGTTGCTAATCCAACAACAGCCTGAAGTTCAGCGGGTAAATCAAACAGCTGTAAATTATCAGGAAGATTCAATGTTAGACAAAAATATAGGAATAGGCATTTCATCTATAGGAAAAATTTTCTGCTGCGCAAATATAAGTCAAATTCATTTACTTTGCAACTACAAGGATTTTTAGGAATATTTTATTTAAAGTTGAGTAATAATTCAACAGGAATCTGACTGGGGTTTTTGGAACAAAATGAAAAGAAGAAAAAAATATTTAACTGAGAAATTGCAGAGTCGATTTTTTAGGGTTGTTAGCTAAATGAGTTGTTCACATTCCTTGACTTTTAACTCTGACTCCTGCATAAATTTCCCTGATCTTCATGTATTCACACATGTCGACATGCACACGAGTCGGACAGTTGGAAAGTGCAACGCAATTTTCAAGGGAAGTCAAGTAGGTGACATATCGATGGCAAAAGTGGAAAATCAAGTGTTTCTGTTACCATGTTGCGAAATTTCCACTCCTTTTCTATTACGTCAAAAAAAAACAAGCCGATTAATAGCTGAAATTTATACAGAATATTCTACTGATAAAAAGGAATATAATCAAGGTTTTTTGATAAATTATGTTAGCTAGTTTCTCAAAGAAAATGTACGACATAACATGAAGTCTTCAATGTCGCAATTGAAGATGCATGGTTTTGCATTTCTGGCATCAATATATTTTATCCATTCATTACTAGGTAATTTCAAAAGTACCCAAAATAAGATAACTTACATCGAAATCTTCTGCCTCTTCCACCCACTGATCGTCCAGGCCTGGATGTGACATGGTATCACTCGTATAATCATCGTGCAGATTATATCCCTGGGAGGGAACACTCATTGGACTTCCTTGCTGACCTGGCGAGTTCGTTTCCTGCGAATTGAGAAAATGAGAGATTAACAAATGTTACTGACTCTTGAAAAGGTGAGACTTGATGACAAAACCAATTTAATTGTCATCTTTAACACTTGAGCAGTATTAAGAAACAGGAAATCTAGGTTCAGAGATAGGGAACTCATGATCAATTTAGCTCTTACGTACATACGAATAGTTGGGATGCTCGAAAGACAGAAAATAAGCTAAAAGGATTAAGGGCGGCTGAATATCCGTAATACTTGACACCCACAGCACTCTTTTCCAGTGAACTACTAAAAACCATGCGTAACAACAACGCTTTGACACCACTGACTGCTGTGAACTGAGAAAAGCAATTTCAACATTTTTGTTTCTGTCATCTTTTTTCCAACGCTTTTGAAAACTAATAAACGTGAGATCATCATTAATTACCTCTACTGCAAACATGACTGAATACATGATGAAAATTATAGACCTCGGAGTTAGTGGATGGTTGATGAGACTTAATCTTATGATTCCTGAAAAAATAAAACCGGTCAAACTTTGTTTTCAAAGCTGGTTTTTTATTCTTATCGGCAAAATGAATTGCACGTACCTCAGATTTGATTGAAGGACTAGAGCTTCTTGCTGTTTTTGTGCTCATAGGATTATCATCAGAGCGTGATGGAGACATTCCGCCCATGCTGTCATCGCCACCATCTGTGTGTCCGCCTTTGTGCTTCTTGTTGGCGTAAAATTCAGGACCATGAACAGTTTTAACGTGCTTTCGTAAGGAACTAGGATCAGTGTACCGCTTAACGCAACCAGGTGCTTTACAAATATATGGTTTCTGGAAAAGAGACATAAAACAGTTGAAAAATGAGAGGAAGAAATCGAGCATTTTGGAGACAGCCGTGGTTTTCTCAGAATAGAACGGCTTTAAAACTTGGAAAACGGTGAAAAAATTAGTTGAGTACTCAAGAGACAAAATTGATTTCCGATGTTTTAGGATGAAAAATGCAGAGTACCCCAGCTTTCATTCAATTCATCTGTTACATGTGTAAATTTCTTCTACTCGTGTCAAAGGAAGAAAAGTGAAGAATTTTCCTCACTTCAAAGGTCATAAAATTTCATGCATTATCCTCAGAAACAAGAAATTCCCAATACATGATCAGTTGAACATTAACAAGACAGGCCTGGTATCAGTAAATACTGATTCAGATTAGTAAAATTTGTCTCAAGAAATAAATCATCAGATAATAAATGTTGCACAAATCAACTGAATTTCAGCAATAGTCTGGTGATAATATTTTTTAGAGTGATTGAAGATTAGAGAGGGCTGTCTGAAAATGTTTGCAGTTGAAAAAATTAAACTAAGAACTGATTTTGGATTGAAAGTTATTAATAAGCTAACAAATCTAAGACATGACACATACGACACTAGAAACTACTAAAGAAAACCAAACTCACCAATAATTAAATTCCAATTTGGCGTGGAACAAAAATTGAATACATAAGAATTCGACTCTGTGTTTAAAGACAGATTCAAGGACAATCTGACAATCATTTGAAAAAATCCTAATACTTATTTCTGTGATTTTACTAATAAAATTTGTTGTCACCAGCAAAGAGTAAGAACCTCTCATTTTTTGGTTGCTTGTCCCTCCAAAAAATTCCTCCATCAAATGCAGAATTTGGATGTGTTAAAAATGTATTTTTTTAAATTATACGATCGATTACCTTGGAGCTGATAATTATACGAGGAGAAAGATTTTAAGGATTAAATTTTTATTTCTTGAAAAAAAAAAAAAAAAAAAATCTATGCTGTCTCGCACACCTAACTGAGGGTAAACATTAGTATCTCCTTCTCTTTAACACAAACACAGTCTCAGCACAAAAATTCTGTTGCGAGAATTTTCTATTTATATTACAAGAAAAGAAAACTGAGAGATTTGAAGACATGACTTACCTCACTTGAATGAGTTCTATTCTGATGTTTTGCTCTGTCTGATGCATTACTGAATGCTTTATGGCAACCGGGATATTCACAGGTATAAGGTTTTTCACCAGTATGAGATCTTAAATGAGTTTTTAAATTTTCTAACCTAGAGTAAGCTTTACTGCAGCCTTCAAACTGTTGAGCAGAAAAGGAAAAACAAATTGAATCAATTTTTATTAAACATTGCAATTTTTTGGCCTGAGCCAAAGGAAAGTAAGAGATCAGGAGAAAAAGGAATGTTTTTGTAATTTTTGACCAGTCAAAGTAGGAAATAGTTTATTCAATTCTTTGACAGATTATCATAATTGGAAGTATATAAATAAAGAAAGGAACTATCTCCGTTGCAGGAATGTGGATTCTGTCTATTATTGCCAGAAATCAGCACTATCCCCCATTTAAACCCATGTAAAATATTCACATTTTTTCGCACAATTCGGCAAGCTTGGTCCTGTTTTGCATGCATTCTCGTGGATCTAATGTTGATTTAGATATGTCTTGTAAAATCCATTTATGTGGCTTTACTGCACATTTCCTATCATGGCACATTATTCTACTAATTGTCATAACTCATTGAAATGTTTTTTAATTTCTTCTGTCTTCCATAGAATGTTCTTTGCGAATTTCAGACAGTAATGATAGTTCTTTTTCTAAGAAAATCAAGGTGTAAATTTTTGAAAGTAGCGATTGGTTATGTGTGTGTTGGAAATTTAACATGAGGAAATGGCAAAATCATATTGTAAAAATTGTTGCGATGCTGAAAAATGGTAACTTTAGAGGCAAATTTAAGTGAAATTCACTATAGCATTTCGCTAAAAATTGTAACCATGGAATAAATGCAACTATTAGGTGTGGTTAAGATCTCGTTTCTCTGAAAAAAAGGCATGGAGTATAAAAAAAACAATACTTACTGTGCACTTGTGTGGTTTTTCTCCAGTGTGCCTACGCATGTGAACAACTAACATGTATTGAGCTTTGAATGGCTTTTCTTCTCTTGAGCACTCCTCCCACCGACAAACAAAGCACTTCTTGTTCGCATGGATGTGATCTTCATTTATGTGCTGAAAGAAAAAAAAAAACGTGAAATTAAGGATTGGATCTCTTATTAATACATTACTAATATTTATTTATTTACTTTTATTTTATTTTATTGTAAAAAAAAGTCACTTTTTTTCTTGTATATGGTGGGCTGCAACCATCAAGATCAAATTGCAAGACTAAGAAACGGCCATACTTTTTTCTCTCATTCTCATTTAATTTCAAAATCTCCAGTTCCATTCTACTCTCAGTGCCAACATTCCCCCTTACAATCGACCATATTTTGATTTTTTGCCCAAAAACCTATGCTACACGCATCAAAATACAAAGTTCCCTCACTCATAACATCCATCCATTAAGCTCAGACGATCCAACAGTAGTCACCGAAATTTTAAAACTGTTTAAGCAATTAAATTTAAAAATTTAAGGTTTCCTGGTCCCCCACGTAAATAGCCTGATTGCTGATCATCGTAAATAAAATAACTAACTAACTAACTAACTACTATATGTAAAGTTGATGATTTAGATAGCAGTAGGTACAAACCTTTACAAGATGATCCTGTGTAAGGAATTCGCGACCGCAATTCTTCCAATGACAATTTGTTTCGATGAAATCACCAGGCTCATCCTTGAGGTCACTCGCGGACTCTGGTGACAACTGTTTTGATGACTCTTTCTTCACTCGGGTTGGCTTGCGCTGTCCACATAGCTGGTCACTTGTGTCTGCCTCAGCTTTGACTCTGTCCACCAACTTACACGAGTCATGAATAATCTGGAATCACAACAACGTCAAGTGTCAGAATAAAAATCAGATAGAGAGCAGCTCTCTTTCTCGTTTGAATTACATCAACGTTTCCTTGAAACTTGCTTATGAAGTTGAATATTGAAAAATTATTTTCAAGAATTTGCAAACCAATCGGAAAACGACAAAGTTTTCTCGTACTCAAAGGACTGAAATGGCAATGTTCTCCCCAGATTCTGGGATTTGACTCAATCATTTATATAAATAGGGTCTCCCATAAAATGACCAAACGTCCAATTTATAAAAATGCAGGGTAACAAGTTTTCTAGTAATTCGAAATTCCCTAGCTTTTCTATGGCTTTTTGGAGACTTTGAACATGGGATCCTCTAACTTTCCAATGTTTTGTTTGAAGAGCCACGATATCCTATAAAAATTCGTGTCACAAAAACTATCAAAGCTTTGTAAGTCTCTTGAAATTGAAAAATGCAATGTTTTGGCCATACGAAAAAAATTCAAGGTTCCACAGCAAAATTTTCTGATGGGTCAGGCGTGTGCAAAACTCCCTGACTCCTCAAGAACTAGTCATTACGAGACTATGAAAAATAATTATCATTATTTCCGCATTTTTCTCGGAAATTCCCTGACTTCATATATTCCAGGTTGTTCAGTCTTTTTCTCTCCAAACGATTCCGGGTTTTCAGACACAACTTGGAACCCTGTCTGGTACTTGTTTTTGGTTTTACTCAGCTATCAGTATGTAAAGTGAAATGAAATATCAAGATTCCTTGACTCTCCCTGAGTTTTCTAAGAATTCCGCGACTTTTCTAGATTTTCTTGGACGTTTGCCACCTTGATTCTTGGATGAAAATAATGAAAATGCATGCATGAAAAGCCGCTTTCATTGTGCTCTTTGGCGCTCTGCGACACCTGGCCGCCAAAGTACCCTATCCTCCCAAAGCCCTTCAGAAAGTTGGCACTCCCCCATTCCCTTTAAAACTCCCTGTCGCCACCCTTTGACTGGGCATCCCCTTCGTCTCCTCTCAGGTAGAACCCACTCAATGGAGATGTTGCATGTGTGAGGAATTTTCGATTTGACTATCGATTCTAACGTAAAAGTTCGCGAGAAACACGATGATGCCACTGGTTTTCTCTGAAATCAACTCCCAAGCTCAAAAAAAGTCTCAAGTTGAGGCCAAAATGGAGGGGAAAGATAGGGAGCAAATACATTAGCAGTGATGCCGTGTTTTCGGCTTTGGAGTCCCCAAATAAAGTGGCAGCCCTGTCAATGTATTTGCTCCCTGTCTTTCCATGGAGAGTTTGTTTTGATGTAGAGGTGGACTCTCAGGATAGCGTGGGATATCCTCTCAATTTTGGCCTCAACTTGAGAGGTTTTTTTGAGCTTGGGAGATGATTTCAGAGAAAACCAGTGGCACCATCGTGTTTCTCGCGAACTTTGACATAGGAATCAACAGTCAAATCGCAAATTCCTCACACATGCAACATCTCCATTATCTTCTTTGGCAGTCTCTCTACCGTCATCTTGTTGACGTGACCATACCAGACAAGCTAAAAATAATGAGTTTACACGGTTGCGACTTACCTCGCTTTTGGGGAGATCGTAGGAGAGGGGGTGGTGGTAGAGGGCGGTGGGGTGCTGGAGGGGGTGGGCGGGGAGGAGGGTGCCGGAGCGGAGGAGGTGGGCCTGGAGCTGGGAGAGGTGCGGGGTCATGTTGGGGTGGGAGAGGGCGGGGCTGAGGGCGCCGGCCGAGAGGTGCCCGTAGGAGCCGCTCGCCGAAGAGGAGCGGGAGACGTTCGAGAAGTTGACGATGGAGACGAGCGAGGGCGAGAAGCGGGAGAGCGAGTTGATGTCCAGCGAGTCCAGGTACGGCGACGACGACAGCGCCCTCTTCCGGTCCTGCCGCAGACTGCTCCGCGGACTACCCACTCGGGACCCTGCAAAAGAGAGCAATCGGAAAGTTAAACGCATGAGGAAACAGATAATGTGCTGGTTACACGCTCAAATTCCCATCAATTTCCGATCAAATGGTGACTGGAGCGCACCATCTACCATCAAATTTCTGCGGCCTGCAAAAATTTGATGGTAGATGATGGAGCTGTGGGGCTCATCCTTCATCTGATTTCCACACAACTGTGCTTATTTCATGCTTATTTCAGTCAACACGCTGTTTTAATTAATTTTACTCATCAATCTAGATAACTCCCGACCGCCATCTTGGTCATCATTTTGATCGGAATTTGACGGAAATTCGAGCGTGTAACCAGGCCACGAAAGATCATTCACTGGCTTCTTGGCGACAAAGGGAAACTTTTACTCTTGAGAATTCGACACTTACTTATGGACAATCGGTCAATTGCGCTGGTCACAGAGTCGGGTTTTGATGCTTGGTTCTTGTAGATCAGCTAAATTAGCATGATCTATCCAAACGATATCTTTCTACATTCAATATTAACTGGATTGCATTTTGCAAAAAGGAACCACTAACATTGCAATGATGCTAAGATTGTGCAACTTCATCTTTTGCAATAAAATTGCGGAAATCGTGAAAAACTATGAAATTTAGATGGTAATTTTTGTCTTAAAATTACAGTTTTAAGCGAGTAAAATAGAAACTATTAATGGATAATCGGGTTTTTCCTCCAAGACAAAAGAAGTTGCACAATCTTAGCAACGTTGCAATGCTAGTGGTTCCTTTTTGCAAAATGCAATCCATCTATCCAAACGATAACTTTCTACGTTCAATATTAATTGACCCTTACCACTTATTGCCGCGGGACCACTGACCGTTATTCGTAGGAGATGATGAAACGCGCTGTGAGAGGACAGCATAGAGTACATCGAGTCGTAATGTAAGTGGGAGAGCTGGCGCAATGTTCTGCTCGACGAGGTTCGAGCCTGGTGTGCGGGCGGGGTCACTTTTTCGATACATATTCGATCCAAAATGGCGGTGTGGAGTACGGCCGGGTCCCCGTGTATCGCAAACGATCGATTATGTATCGAAAAACGGACCCGCAGCGCCGCACAGGAATCTCGGAATTCGGGTCGTGGAAGTTGCTTAAAAGTGGCGCCAGCTCTCCCACTTACATTACGATTCTATGTACTCTATGGAGGACAGCAACATATCAAGCACGTTGTGCGATGTGCATGTCGTATTCAGACATGTTCCGCGTCATGTCAGGCGTTTCTTCAGTGGCTCACATACAGGGCTCACTTGCTCCAGTTGAAAACGAGTGAGCCTTCCATTCGTGAACCGCTTAAAAGACTCCTTCAAAATGTGTGGATGCAACAGGCATGGCGTGCATGATAAGTTGCCGTCCTCAAGGCGTTTTGTCATCTACGATCCGGTAAGGGCCAGCGGTCCCACTGAGATATTTCGTGATGAGGAATTGAGTACACTTTTCAGATTTACCACCGAGTTCCTGATTTCTATGGAATTTTTACGCGTTAGATTAGCTGCCGCACTTTGGAATTTAACCAATTCCCTCGTGCTACTAATACGTGAGGGTAAATATAGAATGAGATGGTTAATGCGAGCGAAGAACGATATTGGACACATCGCATCGTCGTCGTTTTTTTTTTTTCTTAACTCGTGTAAAATTATCGATAATCATCGATTGGACGGAAATTTTTAATTACGTATTGATTCTTGACAATGCTAGTGTTCTCTAAAAGGGCGTGTTTTGCTATTTAAATGGTTTCCATGTTAAAATGGGTCGAAATCTAAAAAGAACTCAATTACAAGCATTTGGTAGTTATTGCTTCTTCGTGGTGGCAAACTCATACACTGCGATAAAACTATAAATTAAATTACCAGGTGGTAATGACGTACCACCTCAACTCATAAATAATAGAAGCAATAACCAGTGACAGTGGTATCGTAACAGTGTGGTGATAATTTCACCACTAAATCGGTAGGTAAGAGTTCAAATGGACCACTAGATAAGGTACGAATTTCAGCATTCTGATACATGTTTCTTAACCAAAATTTTACGTAAAACACGATGCACAAAACGAAAATTACCGAAATTAACTCCTTACGAAGATATTCAATGATTCTTAATGCGTGAATTCAAACCACCCGCTCATGAAAACTCAATGCTCTACGTGATTCACATCGCGCGCTAAACGTTATCATGACAGTCTCTGCGATATAAAAATCTGGCAACCTCAATCTTGACGCTTTGGCTCAGCTATAGCAAATTGCTAATAGTTTGAACAACACATGATGGGAAATGAACATTGCTCGATTGAGAAGCTTGCTGAAACCGTTGTAGTGGGCGATTTGACTCACGTAGATTTTGAGTTTCTTGTGAGCGGGCAGTTCAAATTCCTCGTAACCAATGTGAAATAAAAACTTAATATCTTCGTTTGGAGTTTGTTTCATTAGTTTTCGTTGTGAGAATCGTTTTCTACGTGAAATTCTGGTTAAGAAACATGTATCAGATCGCTTAAATTCGTACCTTGTCTAGTGGTCCATTGAACACTTCTTCCGTAATTTAGATTATAGTTTGTTCTATTGGACTCATCAGTGGACTGCATTACGCATTAAAGAGCTACTTTCTTAGAATCATAATTGCAAAGGAAAACTGATGACCTAAAGTTGTTACTATAATTAACCATAAATGGTAGAACCATTTTGCGTAATGCAGTCCATATCAGCCTCCGCGACTAAATTTGGTCGATCGGTCTATGTTAACTCATCCTGATGACATGACACTGATGGATTGAGAAATGAAGCATGCCGTGCCACAGTCGAATTGAAGATACCACTCTTCGACCACATCCTCAGCTCAAGGGCAACTGCATCGACATTCGACATTCAAGTTGACAAAACCATCGAGGGTCTCAGGATTTGTGACACGGCCATCGACCAGCTGCAAGGTTGCAATATCACTGAAAATTCAATTAAATCAGTGAGAACGAAAACACACCAACTTGGTAACTTTAAAATCCTCAATTTTCATTAAGGACAATCAATTTTCGTAAAGGTCATTGAAGTTAGCGAATCTGTTCCAACTTGGACCTTAAAAGTGTCCTTAAGTACTTTTCTTTCGCCACCAAAAGTTTTCTTCTTGGACTTGCTTCTTGACCTACTGTGCAGTTTTCTGTATGTCCTCATTATTTTCATTTTTTCGAGTTGGTTTGTTTTCGTTATCACTGATTCAATTTTGGGGCCAGAAAAAATCTCCGGCCGTGAAAGCCGTACTTACGGGCTATATAGATATACCGTCCACGTTCTGGGCTCAGAGGCCGAGAGTTTTGGGTGTGGAACCCGGAGTAGTCGAAGCTACGGCTCCAGCACCCGGAACTTTCGGCCTCTGAGCCAGGAACGGACGGTATGTCTAACTTTTTTTTTCGGTGTGGAACTGGCCGCGTAATCAGGACGTCCGTCCGGCGTCCGGCAACGGTGGAGCTGACCGTTGAAAGAGAAATCAGGGAAGAATGGACACAAAGAAGGGAGTGCGGAGGAAGGAGACAAAAGAGGAACTGACCTTCGAGGGAGAAACTGAAGTCGACGCTGGCCAGGGAGGAGGCTTGCTGCAGTTCCGAGAGCGCCCTGGAACTCAGGTAGTCGGGAGCCAAGCCCAGTCCTGCAACACAAGAGATAACAATCAGTCCCTGCGACGACATGTCCGAAGCCCGCTTCCCCGAATTTCCATCTTTCACCACAACAATCAACCCCGTATCACTGCGTTGTCACGCTGAGCATCGGATACAGGCCGCGTTTCGAAGCTCAAAACTGCCTTAGAGAAGATGGGCCCTCCACCCCCGTGGATAGAGAAAATCCGGTCGTGTGAATCATAAGCATGGTGTCTAGTTTTCTTGGCTAAGCTCATCTCCTGATTTTTCCCTGATTTTAAGGAGCTCATTCCCTGATGAGAAATCGAAGTTTTCTCCCACTTTCCCGGGATTTTCTTGGGGAAAAAGAATACAATTTACTAGAGTTTTAGATATGATTTTAATTAAGCTTACAGCCAGCCATTTCTTTGGCGCACGCCAGATTAGACCGTCGAATTTAAAAACAAAATGATCCCTGGGTGGTTCGAGAAGAGATTCCCGGTTTCTAGAACAGTTTCCCTGATTTTCCCGGTAAATTTTCATTCCCTGATGAATCCCGGTTTTTGAAAAACTAGACACCATGACCATAGGTACAGCGTGCTAATTGGTCGTGCCATTCGGTTCACGGAACCGTAATCTTGGTTAAAGTAACCGGGTTTCGATTGGAATATCTGAGGGCTCGGTTGCATGGAGGTTCCTGAAACCACGACAGAGTGTCTACTAAAATTTCATTTTGGATTTTTCTGATGTTTTCCTGATTTTAAAATGAAATTTCCTTATTTTTAGCGCGGAAAACTTGACACTCGTTTGATTTGACGAAGGAAAATATTTCATGAATTGAGTCAAATATTTCACTTGTGTATGCGATACTCGTGTGGTTGAAAAATGCTCGACCAACTCTGGTATTCCTAATCCCTGATCAATTTTTCAAATATTTTCCGATTTTGTAATGATATTAGACACTCACAATCAGTCAAAAATTTAAAATTAGTACTTCGGTAGGAGGAAAAAGTTTCAAGGTTCAGCCGAATTCCATGCCTTTCCTTCGACTTTTCCTTCGACTTCCGGGTTACGCGAAATTCCCTGAATTTTCCCCGTGATCCCTGAAAAATTGTCACCCCGAACACACGATAGAAACATGGATGGATAACATAAGTTAAAAAAACACGATGTGGCGACAGTGCTCGGTATCCTCGAATCCTGATGCATGCCCGGAGTGCCCCAATTCTATTTACACCAGGCACGCACGGGCCTTCCCTCGTCCGATCCACTTGTTCCTTTTTCCTGAAATGGACGTATTTCTGCCGAACCGAATTATGTGCATTAAGATATGAGCCCTGAGACTCATGAGAATAAACGCATAACAGGGCTCACGTCATAATGCAGTTCCGTTTGACGGAATAACGTCCCAATGATGGAATGGCAACGGAATGTTGCGGGAAAAGAGCCGTGGCAGCGGACAGGATTGGCCCTTTGAACGTGGCCTTTGCAAAATTCGCGACCTTTCGAATTGGAGAGGAGTTCTTGGCATAAATAAAAACAATGCTACGAAAGCAGTGTTTTCTAAAAAAAAATTGGGAATGGATCCTTATAATCATGTAATCTACTTATGAGGTACAATCGAAAACACAGGAAAATGCGGAAACGAGGCTACAATACAAAAAAAATACAAAGGCAGGACGTTTCGGTACCTTACGGCACCATTATCAACGGCTAAAATAGAATCAAAAATAAAAAAGAAATTAAAATAAAAACCAGCAAACGGCGTTACATGGTGAAATTGGTATTGAAATGAGACTGCAGTGATAACAAAACTGCAGTGTGTTTCTGTTATCAGACTGCATTTTCAACTGCATACAGAAAAGTCGGGATTAAACCCTGACTGACATCGAATCCTGATGGAATCGGGTAAATCAGGAAAATCCTGGAGCTAGACACCGTGTTCAATTATTTTCCTCCCGGGTCCGCAAGCATACATCATTGATCTTTTGATACCGCTCACCTGCGTGAAAGACGAAAGTCGAAAAAAAAAACTGTGGGAAATACCGTGGGGTGTCGTTCGGTGGGCTGCAACCGAAGCCACCCCCAACCTCAATCTCAACCTCAACCCACTCCCGCGGACACTACACAGGACCCAAGGTTGTTCTCACCTCGCCCCCGAGAAGATTAACGCGACTTCACGGACACCCCGTACCGCGGCTCCAGGTTCGGGGGGCGTGGCGGGCCGGGGGGAGGGGGGGAGGCCCGACTCTGTAATTACGATTTGGGCCTCAACGAGCCGTGGGCCCGTGGGCCCCGGATCATCCCGTGAGCCGGACGGCTCTGCTGCCCACTTGATTGAGCCATTATTACGGGCCCCGGCGGAGTCGAGTTGTCGGATTTCAGTGGAAATCGGACGATTTTCCTACTATGATACTGCCGTGCCAAGGGAAAATGCAGTATGAACCTTCAGGCGTTGACGAATTTCCTCTGATAAAATCAAGATCTGATGAAATCTTCAAGGAAACTGTTCGATATTTTTCTTCGAGTTTATCAGAAAATTTTAGACACAATGAAGATGTTGCATGTGTGAGGAATTTGCTATTTGAAAACTGATTTTTATGTTAAAGTTCGCGAGAAATACGATGGTGCCACTGGTTTTCTCTAAAATCAACTCCCAAGCTCAAAAAAATCTCTCAAGTTGAGGCCTAAATGGAGATTATATCCCACGCTATCCTGAGAGTCCACCTCTACATCAAGACAAACTCTCCATGCAAAGATAGGGGGCAAATACATTAGCAGGGTTGCCGTGTTTTCAGTTTTGGAGTCCCCAAATAAAGTGGCAGCCCTGTCAATGTATTTGCTCTCTATCTTTGCATGGAGAGTTTGTCTTGATGTAGAGGTGGACTCTCATGATAGCGTGGGATATCCCCTCCATTTTGGCCTCGACTAGATAGCTTTTTTTGAGCTTGGGAGATGATTTCAGAGAAAACTAGTGGCACCATCGTGTTTCTCACGAGCTTTTACATGAGAATCGATAGTCAAATCGCAAATTCCTCACACATAAAACATCTCCATTCCGGGTATTTTTACATTTTCCGTGCGCTTTGGCAACGCTTGCCCGATTGGATTCGCCTTCCCCATCCAATCCCAAGTCCGCCCTCTCCCGTCTCGTATCCTGATCCATCTCTCCTGCTCCGATCTCTAATTTCTTAATCTCTTAATTTCCTCTCTACCCCCCCCCCCCCCCTCGCGCATCGCTTCACGGAGATGTGTTTATTTACGTGCATGGATGTGTTTCGTTCCCATCGACGCGGCTCAGGTGTTTTCCACCGACGAGGAAGTGTTGCGCCTTCAGCGCCGCCTAGCGCCTCGCACGGTGGCGGCGCGTGAATGGTCGATCATCGATATTTCCCCATTTGAAGCTATGGTAAAGAATCGATTATTAGGGAGTTTGTTGCGAACACCCTGTCTATCGATCATTTTCTACAGGTTTAAATGGGAGATCAATCGATACATCGCAAAGGACGCTACACCGCTGATCTTGTCTTGGGATTTGGGATGGTCAATCGTAAGGCCTTGTCTCCGCGGGACGTTTCACGGGATTTTTCCCGAGTTCGAGTCGCAGGAATGAAACTTTTGGATTTCTCCCCGTTAGACGACACAACAAAATTTTTTCTTCTTCTTCTTTTTAAGTCGTTCCAGGGACTCCACAAGGACTCTTCGTCGGTTCTGTGATTACTATAGACATGGCTGTACTCTCCCAGGGTGTTAAGTTTTTTTTTTTTTTTTTTTTCATTTTGGAAAATCCTGAATTTTGACCGCTAAATCCTGACTTCATATTTTTACCAAATCCAGATCAAATCCTGACTTCTTGCGGGGGAAAATTAACGGACGGATAGCGGATAATTAACGGAAACAAGCGGACGGCCGACTTTTCTCAAATCCTGATTTTACGACCGATGTTTTTTCAAATCCTGATGAAATCGGGATTAAATCCATATAGACCTTAAATCCGGATAGAATCGGGAAAATCCTGATTCTAGACACCCTCCTGCACTCTCCCTATGTAGGTGCTGTAACCATAAATAACTGCAAACGTGAAAAAAGGCAAAATAACGATTTGCACTTGACTCGGCTGTTTTAATTAGGTGGCGAACTGAGTTAAATCGAAGCGGAGGTACATTTCGAAGTCACCGAGAGAACAAGACTCGGAGCGGGGCGAGCTGATGGAATCAGAAATCAGGAATCAGGAATCAGGGGTTGCGAGGTGGAATCAGCGACGCTCGACGGAGCCAGACACGCGGGGCGAAGCTAGACTAAACTTGGACTTGAATCAGCGCCGGAAAAGTAATTATCGCAACACGCACGAGTGTTAACCCCAGTCCTCAGTCCCAATGCAGCCAATCATTTAACATTTTTTTCACGTTCGCCGCGGCGCACACTCCACAGTGTTGCCATAATACGGAAAACAGGGTCACTGAGTGGACAGAGAGATCCACATCCATCCTCAAAGCGGCTTACCGAACAGTTTCTGGCTTAGGAGAGACCCATTCAGACTCAAAACGCGATATACCCCGGAGACTTTAACGCGAGGTAGAAAAGTAAACAGGTACTTATCGAACAGTTTCTGTCTTAAGAGAGACCCATTCAGACTCAAAACGCGATATACCCCGGAGATTTTAACGCGGGGTAGAAAAGTTAACAGGTACTAACGTATCCTTTTAACACTTGACAATGACTTCTTCATGTTTAGAAGTTGGGGTCCTTTCGGTTAGGACCTTTTAACAGACCAATCTCAGAGAATTTTGGCTGTTAGTCAATATAATTTAAGCTTGCTGCCTCTGTAGCTTTCCGTTGTTTGTCATACAGCCGATTTCAATATTTTTTTGGCAATTGGCGGGCAAGACGAGAAAACGCGACACCCCCTGTTCGATAAGTGCCTGTTTACTTTTCTACCCCGCGTTAAAGTCTCCGGGGTATGTATCGCGTTTTGAGTCTGTATTGTTTCAGATTGGATGACATTTTAATACACCTTTTTTTCCCTCCAGAG